ATGAAACAGGAAACAGTTTGGGGGAAACGGATACAGCTATCCAATGAAGGAGACAAACCTCACTTTTAGAATTCATCCATCATAAATGGGGATGGAAGAATTAACAAGAATCCCTTTTTGTGATTTTTGTTTTTATTTAAAGTCTACACAGTGATGGCATTTAGATTGGATCAGAATGACTGAAGCACCAAGAATCCTGCTTCTGCTGAATGTGTGAGGAATATCTTAGTCACCTATTAGGCACTCAAAAATACACCCACAACCTTTGATAGAGATGTTAATGGAGTGTTGTGTTTGTTGTATAATTCACTTTTTTGGAACTCTAAAAAGTAATTGGACAGAAATTCTGAAAACAGCTTATGGAATTATTGTGTTCTTTGCTTAAGGTGCATTACATGTCTCTCTTCTATGTCTTTCCCTCTTAAGGATTATTCTTTTGCGTAGTTTCGTTTTGTGGATTTTTTTTTTTTTTAATGTGTGCCCTTTATATTGAACTTTGTGGGTTCAGGTAAGATTATTTTTCATTCCCCTGCTTGAGATTTCTTCTACAAAGACTGAGAACTGAAACTGAGATGCTGTGTATGAGGAGAATTATGCTAAGAATTTAATTTAAAAGTGCATTTTCTTTTGCAATGTTTGAGCAGTTTGGGGATTTCAGCAACGCTTCTTTAGTGGTGGTGCTTCATTGCAGCTACTCACCTTCCTTGAAAGGAATTTTGAGGCATTTTCTTCTTTACAATAGAAATCCATTCCGTTAACTATATTGTGAAACCAATAGTTGTATTAGTATCTGATCTATCAGTGGCTTACAGTGTGAAATTAGGCAAATAATTGAGACTCCTTGTATTTCTGTAAAGTCTGGAAAATAAGAATAGTGATTGTTCTATTTAAAGTACCCTAGTACCAAAGTGCAATGCAGACAAGAGTATGGAAACGACTGTGTATTCAAGTGCCTTTGCAGTTGGTAAAGTTTGCCTCTAATATTCTAGACAATCTGATGGCTATTTGTGACTCATAGAAACATGTTCTTTATCTATAGTAAAACTGCATTGTAGGGTTTTGTTTTTAAATAAATTTAATGCCATATAAAAGTTACCAACAACATACAAAATAGGGCCATGGTTTGGCTTATCCTATCTCTTGGGGTGTTTTTTGTTCATTTTTTCATCTATCTGTGTACCAGAGGACTGTAATTCCACTTTGACCTTCTTGTTTTGATTAATAAAATGAAACTCAAATGATTTATTATTTGATGAAATTGGCAGGTGGGTATATAGATGTTTGGTTTGGAACTAGGTGTGGGTGTAGTGTTTCTTACATGTACTGGCAGTCAAAGTTCTTACTGTGTGCCAATTAAGAAAGAAAAAAATCAATTTAAAAGATCGTTTATTGGTAGGTGAACAGATATAACAAACACTTAAGGGTAGGAGAGAGTAGCAGGATACCCATTTGTATCAACTGGAAAGCCTTGTGAGAAGTGGCTCATTCAGACAACTTTAATTCCTGCTTGGGATTTCAGTTGTAGTCAGCTTGATTGGAATATACATTTAACAAATATTGTAACAAGTAATATTTGTAGTAATTTGTCATTTGTTGCATATTAAAGGTAGATGTTCAGGAGTCCAAACTGTGCATAAAGTCAAGAGCTGGTTGTAAAACCCCCTGTTGACTTCAGGAGGTCTTGGCAATTTGTCCCCGAGTTCAGCTGGAAGCAAGTCTTGCTCTGTGCAGCTTCCATGTTCAAACTCCCTCTCTCCCCCCCAAAAAAAACCAACACAATACCACTTTGCCTGTAACGTGTTACTGGTTTTTAGATTTAGATCCAGTTCATCTACTAAAAGAAATGGCTTTTAATAAAAATTTATCAAAGTGAGGCTGAAGTGCTTTTGATAAACTTTTTGGGGAAAGCTTAGCTGGGTTTATCGTGTTATGATTATGGCTTGTTTTTTGTCACCTGTTTATTAGTTAGATATTAGTATTTGGGTTTTTTTCTGTTTTGCCTGGGGATGTGATTCTTGAAGTCCATGAAGGTCTACCCTCTTGCAGCAGCTCCTTCTTGACCCTTGCAGCTAAGTTTGGAATTTGTAGCCTGGCTGAACTGAGTTAAAGCTGCAATTGTGTATATGCATTATGCTGAAAAGCTCCACAGAAAATTGAAGTTGCTCATGAATTTAAGACTGGTCAAGGAAAAATTATTTATTGTTCTGTTACTTAGGCAGTATGCGATCCTGGATGGTTTCTGAATGGGACTGAAGTTAAGCAGAAGGAACTCATGTTATGTTTGGCATTACTGAGTGGGTACATCCAGGGAAGTTTCCTTAGAGTTGTTTGAGCTCATCCAAGATTGGAACGCAGGTGGAAGCCCCTGAGTTAAGAACTGAGGTTAAGGTTGTACTGTGGCATGTACTGAGAGACTTTGTTAGGTCTTTGTCACCAGACAGATAAACTTTTAGGAAGCTTAGTATTTGTTCAGTGGGAATTTTGTAATGTAACTTGTTATAAACAATTTATCAGTATAAAAATATAGTTATGCTTTAGATATTTCTTCTTTCTTTATAATGTCCTTTTGTAAAGGATCTGATAATAGCACAATCTAGAGTGACACATTTTGAAATCCTAAAAAGAACACCATCTTCATATATATCTTCTGTTATCGGTGCTGGTTATATCTTGGATTTCCTTCTGCACACAGTCCAGTAATATGAGTTTATCTAAAATCTATTTTATATCAACTCCTATTTTAAAACTAAAAAATAAAGAATCTACTGCTTTCTTGACTGTTCCAGCAGTTAGTCTTATTTCTGAGAGAAATAGAAAAATGTATTTCAAACAGGTACTTATGATTTTAATCTTCAGCTACTGTATTTGAATCCTTATTTGCTTTTCATTATATTATTTTCATGAATTTGTCAGGTAGTCTGCTGTTGCTTTTTGAATTAGTGGGGCACGATTCTCGTGCTCTTACTTTCTGCAATTTCTTTAATGTTTTTGTCAGGATTTAATGTCAAAAATCATGATAGTTCTGTCTGTAACTTCAGAGCTGAGGAAAACACACGATGCATGTATAAATAGCTCCCTATATTTATCTTATTCAGAAATACTTATTTCTTCCTTTAGAAGTAAAGCAAACAACTAAGTTTGAATAATCTTACTCAGATGAGAGTTCTGTAAAAAATAGATGCATATTATAAGCATTGGTTTCTTCAATAGAAAAAAAGAAAAAATAAGTTTGCTTCTTTTATATTCCACAAGAAAACAGAGAATTTGATACGTTACATTGGTAAAATGTGGTTGTCTTCATTAGATTTGTTATTATCCCTTATTTTAAACGAGTTGCTCATTTTCATCATTTTTTGTGGAATTTCCAATAGTGGCCCATTTAACGACGAGCCTTTGTTTACTTTCAGAGCCCTGGGTTGTTTTTTTATTTTTTTTGCTTCCAACTTTTTTTTTTTTCCTGACAATCTGTGTTTCTAGAGATAACGTGATCTTGGCAAAGCTTGTAGTGCTGTATCTTTGCAAAAGCTGGCTGGTATTTCAGATAGGGAACAAGTGGAGGACTCTCAGGCCACTGATGATTAAAGAGGCATTAAGTAAACTATCATGCAAGTACATTTTCCTGAATTATAAAGATAAAATGTCAGTGTTGTTATCATAAATGATTCAACATTATAAAGCAATTAAAAGGGTTTAAAAAAAGAACACTACTTTTTTTTTTTTTTTTTTTAACATGCTAGAACCCTTCTATAAAAGAATAACAGAAAATGCCATGTTTATATGTATAATAATTGAACTCTTAAGTCACTCACTATTTAAGAAGCTTTTGAATGCATTGATACAGGCTTGGGAGTTTTAGCATTAGTTAAACTGCCATTTACAAAAATCAGTTCTTTGCAAGTATTTCTTTGGCATTGCCTTGAATGATATTGTTACTTGAATTTCTTAGAGGGTCTTTTTTGTATGTGTTTTTTATCACATTAAGTAACCAGACCCTAATTCTCTAATAATTCATCTGATCTAGTTTGTGCTCCATGACTGTTTGTAGTGTCATTGAATTCATTTATGATCAAGGATGTTGCAAGTAGGAAAGTGTTGCTGTGGTTTCTTTTTAGTTTTGTTTTCTAGGACAGGTCAAGTCTTCAGTAGGTTTTTACTTGCTAGTGCAATACTATAGAAAAATTAAAAACAAATATATAGCATCTTATACAGATTGTGATTAAATTGATTGGGATTAAATTTTCTGAAATAAGTCAGACTTAAATGCCTGTAAATAAAATCAACGTTTCAAGTTAGTGGAGCTTATATATAAAGGCTTAGGTTTGTTTTGTTTAAGTAATTTAAAGCATATTTTAAAAAAGAAGTAATGCATCCAAACAAAAGAAAAAAAAAAAAAAAAACACCCACTCACACTTTAAGGAATTTGTACATGAAATTTGCATCAGGTCTTGTCTGTTTGTATGTAATTTCTAAACTGAAGCAATTAAGGGAAGCTATAAAAGCAGGGTGGGCTGAAGACTAGGGTGCAAAGGAGACAGAATCTATACCTTTTGGCTGTCTGTAGAGATTGCTGATTCACTCTGACTTAAATGTTATCTTGTTTACTTTCTGACAGTTCCCTTGGCAAAGTGCTAATTCGGCAAAATGCACATTTTCAGATTCTCTTCTGCTGTTGTAAAAGCTGGGATAGAAGTACAGGGTGACTTCATTCACCTTGATATTTCAAACTGTTGGCAATTATCTCTGTTTTACTTGTCTTCTTGCCCTCGACCCCCTAGTTTTTACTGAAAAATGTTAGAGAAGTTGAGGTCAGTTGTGTTCTTCAAGCAGTATATTATGCAATGTTCTTGTCCAAGTCAACTTTACACTTTGGTTGGTCCAGTTGTGAAAGCTGGAAGAAGAAAGAAGCCAAAAATTACAGAATTGAGGACAGCTGAAGGGGTATCTTATAAAAATAATTCAGTGAAAAACATGGTTCATGTACTTATTTTCTCTTTTTGTAGGCAGAAAAGCTGACTGAGGTTGTGATGATATTTTCCATGATGCTCTACCCTGTATGGTGAAGTGTGAAGGTATGCCATTATTGTCTATATGTCAGAGGGTTAGAAGTGTGACAGAAAAGTAGTCTGTTATGATATCCTGACTGTTGAAACTGCAGACACTTATTTGTCTTGGACAGTACAGCAAGGAGGTATAGCAATACAATTCTTTGCAGTGGTTTCTCACTGCATGTAAGGTGACTAAAAATCTCCTTAATTATTTTTGGAGTTGGTTAACACTTCTTAAATTGTTCTGATGCTTGGCCAGTGGTCGGTATCTGTCTCTGGTTCATTTTCTTCCCCTATTTTTTTCATATGCTTATAAATTCAAGTTGTGTTAGAGGAGATTAAACCTCAGAAGGAAAGTGTTTTGAGTCATCTTGAGGGAGTAAGGTCTAAAAAGCTTGTTTTGTCACCTTTCATCTTTGCTTTCTGTTACTTCCTTCTTCTTCATACCTCCTCCCACTTATAAGACTGAACCTATAAGAGTTTTGTGGTGTTACTTCTGCTCTTCCTTCCCAGGAAGAAAACTAGCTTCTCAACTCGCATGAATTTCTGCACACTATGTAAACATGTATGACAGTTTCTTCAGAGGCAGTAGTTGTACTAACATCTAAGGAGGGAAGTTGCCAAACTGGGGAAGTGAGATAAGAGGACAAGAAAAGGGAGATAGCAGAATTCACAAGGAATGCCCCAAAGACTTCAACTTTTTAAAATCCTGTTCTTGGAACAGCTTGCTGAACCGCTACAAACTGGGCAGTTTGTCCTAGTTTTCAATGGTAGCTGGAAAGAGTTGACTAATTTTCCTCACAGAAATGTTTGCCATGAGAACCCTTCATCTTCCATGAAGGAAGAGAACGCTGTGTGTTCTACCCGGATATAACTATGTGATGAAGAATTTGTGCTGTTATTTGCCCAGAAGATATCATTTGCGTAGACTTGAAGCTTCACAGCAGTCCTGTTGCTGGAGGGGATAAGGAAGTTGGCTCAGATTTAAGTGCTCTTCAGAAGCTATGGCAAGTGATGGATCATGACTGTTCCATTTCCTCTGCAGTTAAGCTCTTGAGAGCAGACATCTGCTGAGAAATCTCTGCCTCCCAAAGGAAAAGGACAGGTGTTTGAAGGCTGAGAGAAGAGGGACAGTTTTTGAGGCTTTCATTTGTGGATACAGGGGCTGTTTTCTGCTGTGTCACTCGCACTGCAATGTGAAATGCATATGGCTTTTAGTAGTTAGTGTCACTTGCTTGGTTCTTGACAGCATCTGCTAAACTGGCATTTGTTTTGTAATTATTGATGTTGTTCTTTGGCAACACAGAACTGTACAAACAATTGTTGGTTCGTGTTTTGACAAATCCTTCTTCAGTTGTGGCACAGGGAATTGCATTTTTTGAAAAGGTTAACTTGATTTCTTCAAAACTGTCTTCCAGCATCACTTCCCCACTATTTGATATGACCAGTGTAGGATCTCTTAATGTTTAAGAAATCCAAGCAGTTAGAAAGATGACTTTGTTGCTGCTGCGTTGCACTTTTTGTTTTCCTTTGTGCTTTCAATACTTATTTTAACTCATGAATGTAGCTATAACTGTCACCTGTGTACTCTGGATTGGCAGGTTTTTCCCCTAAACATTGTTTATGACAGAAATGCCTTTTAAGAGAAAAATACCGCTTTCTGTTTCTAGTGGTGAATCAGAATATTTTTTCCACTTTGAAATGTGATTTTTTTTTTTTAACCTTTATTGCTTTTTAATTCATTGGTAATTTATTAGTATTTGGTTTTACTCATAAGCCAGTACTTTGGTGTAGGAAAGTGGTTCAACATGTTCTGCAACCAAAAGCCACCAGGTAGAATGAAACTACCAGTCAGCAACCTTCAAAAATACTATTTACCTTGATTTAATTTGCCCCAGATATACAGGAACATCAGCTTTTTTTTTTTAATATATTTTTGAAATAAATTACAGAAATAATTAGCAAGTATCTGTCCTGTACTAATTAAGCCTTATTTCATGGTCTGATATAGTAAATAGAATTCCGCTTTCAATATTGCTTATGAAACATAAAATCCAGCATGATGTGGTGTAGTTATGGAAATACACTTAGTCTCCACAGCTAGCAGACTGTTTATAAGAGAAAAAAACTCGCATTGAGGATGTTCTTGAGATCTCTTTTGTATCCACTTCAGTTTCAAGCAAGGGCAAACAGATTGACCTGCTGTATAGTGTCCTGGTTTTGCTGTTGTCATTCTTCATTGCATCATTTCATAAGAATTTGAGAGATGTATTAGGGAAATGAATGTTTTTTTCATGTACCTTGTGTGAGAGGTCTGTCTGACCTACTGTGTTTACTCATCCCACGTCCTCTGTGCATATAAGGCTGTGCAGATGATGGTGGCTCTGATGGACTAAGGAATCTCAAATGTCATGTCTTGGGAAATATTATTTGCCAGAACAGTTGGGCAACTATTTGAATTGCTTGGAAATTTTCTGATGAAATAATCTTTTGCTGAAGTTTATCAACATGGTGAAATTTAAATGATTTGCAGACACAAACCAGCTTTTGCCAGAGTTCTGATGGAACCCAACCAGAGCTGTTGTCTGTGGGTAACCTTTGATTTGATCGCTTTTTTTTTTTTTTTTTTTTTTTTTTTTTTTTTTTGGCAGCTCACCTACAAAGATTACTATGATGGCCAGGCTTCTGTATTGTATTTTTCATTTGCTTTTTAGACAACATTTCTTGGCAGCTTTCTTCCAAGAGAACAGCTAGAGTAACGGCTTCTTTCAGTTGTGGATAACATAGAAATCCCAATTTTTGTTTCTAATCAAAGCAACAGACTAAAAGTCTCATGCTAGCAGCTTCTGTCCAGTTAGCCCCTGTGTCGTGCAGGCAGATCAGACCGGGATCGTTACTCTTTCCTTGTGCAAGAGTTTGTGGACTCTTGCTGAATTGCTGATACAAGTCAGTGGTTTACCAAGGGAAAACTGCAAGCAAATGTTATCTTTGTTTCTCCAGGTTATTTTACCACATGTTTTGTTGTTGATATGTTACAGATCTGTCATCTTCGTTCTGCATCTGCTTTTTACCATATGCGTTCAAATTTCTGATATATTAAAAATCATTATGTGATATTAGCATAGCTGATGAAATAGGAAAAATTCCTTTGGAATAATCTGAATTTAGCAGTTGTTTCTTGTATGAACCATTGCTTTTCTTGTATTGTTCTATGTATTTAACTTGCACAGGGCAAAAAGTGGAGCATGTGAACAAGAGGCAGTGGTAACTGAAGGTATATTACTTCTCTACAGAATGCCTTTAAATATGCTTAAGGGAAGACATTTAGATTTTTGTGAAAGCTGCTTTTGAAGTCAGAACATGTTACCTGGAAAAGGACAGCAGAGTTCTCTAAGTGCAGAGTATGATACAATTAAAGCGTGGATTAACTGTCTGATTAAATTGGCTTCTGTAGTTTAAGCAGTGGAGAAGTTTCTCAGATTCTTGAGACTGCTAAAGTATTTTTGTTGCTGAGTACTGTGAGTTTGATAAAGTTAGTGAGAAGAATGATTTCTTGTGAGTATATGTGGTGGAAACGGGATCTGTTGTAGTGATTTTTCCTTTTTGGTGAAATACCAGGTGCTGTTCAACCACGTTTTGGCTGAGCAAAACCTTAATAATCTTTTGTTGATCCTTTAAGGAGTAGCAGTACCACTGCATGCACCAATATTTTGATGATATGTTTAACTACTTGTTAGAGAAATGTATACATTTGAGTCCTTTAACTTAATATGTTTTTCTGTCCAAAGAAAAAGAGCAGCCAACAAAGCAAATCGTATCAAGGTTACCGCATGTTACATGCACAATATGAATACTGTTACATTTTCAAGATTTAAAGTTTTCATAGATGCATGCTATGAGCAGGTTTATTTGTGCTCCATCTGCTTGTATAACCAAATCGAATTGTGAAGATATTCTGAGTATAAATATTAAGTATAATAAATATAAACAAAGAGGCTATCAAAGCAGTCTGAAGTTGGGAACTGACAGACTTTTCATCTTACTCTCATCTTATATAAATAAGTAAAATTTCATTTACTGTTCTTGTAACAAGATCTATAATAGTCATTAGAATTATTAATTATGTTAGAGCTTTGTGAGACATTTCTGTGCTCATACCTACCCTGTGACAACCTACTTACCATCAATTGAGAAGGTTCTCATAGTTGCTGTTCATGATATTCTTTCAAGTTTCTTGAAAGAAGTATGTGTGTATAAGGTGAAAAGTGTGTGTTTCTGGTATTTTCAAGCTTAAAGATGATGTCCTACTTACTGATAATAAACTAATAGTGTTGTTGGGAGGTATCTAAGGCCTTATTTAGAAATGTAAAAAAAATAGAAAATGCTATTTTTTATATTTCTCCTCACTTGCTTATGAATTGAGTATTCAAGTTGCTTAGTAGCAGACACAATAAGCATTAATTGCAATTATAGGAATTCTAAAAGCTTACTGAGAAGGGCCTGTTTCAGCTTGCAGAATCTCCACTGCATCTGTACTGTGTTCTTTGCAAATCACAGCAGCAGGGAGATGGTGGACATACTTAACTGTTTCATTAGATTCTAGACTTTGTTTTGCAACTGGGAATTTAAATCCTTGCAACTGTCAGAAATGTGGTCTGGTGTAAACGTGAACAAACTGGAGGAAATGAGAGAGCTGGATTTCAGGCAAGATGGTGCACTGTCAGGTCAGTCCAAACTGTAATATGGATGGCATTCTTTGAAAGTCTGCTGCTAAAAGAACAAGTTATGTTATACAAGACTTACTCAGCCTGAAAAGTGTATAAATGAAATACATAATTTTGTATGGCCTTGATGAAGATCTTATAAATAGATATGTCTGTAGGCAGGAGGAACAGAGGTTGACCAAAGGAGGGAGATGTTGCAATAGCCATAATGAGCATATTCAGTGTTGACATTTTTGACAGTGCTGACGGTGTTTTTGTCCAGAGCTGTGAGCTGTTCTATCTTAAGCAGTCATTTTTCTGTTTGTTAAGTGAAGTATTATAGACTTCATGTTTGGCTGCTTTACCCAATTGTTGTGCTTGAAGTGCAAACTGTGATGTTACTGAGCTTATCGAAGTATTGTAACCCTTGTTCTAATGGGCACTGCTATAGCCAGAGTGGAAGTGAGTTGCATCATTAACTCAACGTGGTTTGTATCATCAGTTCATTGCCGACTGCCTCATATAACTTAAAATATTGTGCAGTTGATCTAGAGTTTTGGGGGAAAGTTCACAACCAATTACAGTCAGGTAAATCTCCATGTGGTTTTCCTCACTCGAAAGCCAGACTGGGGTAACAAGCATGAAACAGTAGTCTCAGAGCAGAAGGTAATTTAGAATTACCCAGCACTGCCCGGAGGTCTGCAGCCTGCATGAGCAGGTTATGGTTGTGTGCTCTGTTGGAACTGGTGCCATCAGATTAAAATCCAAGGAGCATATGCTCCAAAGGTGAATGATACGCTGCTCTGCCCCTGAGCAATTTATTCCATGCCTTAACACAGGTCTGGAAAACTTGAATTAACTCTAGAGGACTTTGTATCGGATACTACTTGGAAGACCAGACAGCATTTTAAGGAGCATCCTTGAAGGTGCATAGAAAATATGCAGCTGTCTGAACAAGGTGTAACTGCTTATCTCTAAAGCAAGATTCACAACAGAAGAAACACTGTTCTCAGAAGTCTGATTTATGTGGAGACAGAAGCTGACTTTGCAGCTGTGTTAGGTGAGTTCCATTTTTCAGGGCCATGGATGGTAAACCTGGTAGAAGTAGCAGGTGGTGCTGAGGAATTTAATTTCCTTTTTTTTTCCTTCTGCCCAAGACTTGTCTGAAAAGTCATTAAATCTAAACTCTGCAGTGTTCTCTGAGTTTCATCCATTTTCAATTATCCACTATCGTGTTTTTTTTTCTCTTCTAGTCAGCTTTAAAATGCGCTTTTGTTTCTCTCTTCTTCAGCCTTTTCTTGTGGTTGAAGCATCACAGCAGGGTATTTCCATTTTTTTCACTGATGGATAGAGCTACTGTTTTGCTTAAATGCTTTCAAATGGTGTTTATTACAACCACAGAAATATGCAAAGAGAATAAAAGTAGGCATGCCCTTGTCCTTCTTCCTGCAAGACATTTGGTACTAACTTCCACACAGATTGTAAGGAGAGGGTGTTATCAGTTTTTAGCTAGAATTGTTTTAGCAAAATGGAGTGTTACAACCTTAAGTGAATGTGCCATGTCTTTTTTTTTATTCTTTTCATTTCTCTTCTAATGCCATCAACGGTTCTCTTAAACCAATTTATCTACAAAAAAGAAAAAACACAGTGTAAGAAAAAAGGACAGCTAGGAATTAAGAAACAAGTGTACATTTAGTGTACCAGCTTATTGTTAGCAGTAAGGATCAAGGTCTAACAAACCAAAAACATGGTTTTGAAAAGTTCTTCATGAAGAAGACAATAGGAATTCAGGCAAATGAAAAAGGAATGAATCACACTATCTGAAACTCAACACCTGAGTTCTTAAGTAATGATATATTTGCTCAGGGCCGTTAACTTTTTTAATATTTAGTATGTTTCTATTGCAGATACATTATGTTCTACCATTGCCTGTGTGCCTGCTTTGTCTGACCTCCTGTGGATACCAACAGCAAGTGGGTGACTTTTGTTGTGTTCATTTAAAAGGTTTCATTATTCTTATGTTTTATACAGAGCTTTCTCAAGTGATAAAAGATAGTTAACAGAAGATTTACCTGTAGTGGGAGAATGCCATTCTAATAAATAAATAAATAAATAAATAAATAAAAGCAAGCTGGAAGGGGAGAGTGATTATTTTCAAGAGAAGAGTTTAGACTTAAAAAAAAAAAAAAAAAAAGCAGCCTATAACTAGAAATAGTCTGTAAGAAGAAAATTTTAATAAACTAGGCTGCGAATGCTGAATACTATTAAATTGTGAAGGGCTTTTTATGCCCTCTGCATTTTAATGTATTTTCCTACATTGTGGTTGTTTTCAATCTGTTAATTAATTCTCCTTTCTAGTTGAAGTTATATTGTTATTTTAAATAAGTGCAGGACAGCATGGAAGGCAGAATCAATCCTTCGGTGCATTGGAGTTGCAGGCAGAAACAGGAAAGTGAAACATGTTGCATTGTAAATGCTGGTGGTTGTTAGAGCAGCATGAGTAATAATTAATCCTTTAAAAATTCAATCTTCAAATGTGATCAATATTAGAAATATCAAAATAACCCTATTGGATCAAATTCATTGTTCCTTAGTTCCAGAATCAGATCTCTTACAGATAGCTGCTTTGATCACCAAGTCAAAACATATTCATAGAAGATTTTTTTATTTATGCTAATGGCAAAAATGTTTATAAGTGAACTGGTAATTTTTACTTCCACTGAGTTCTGGTTGCATGTTGAATATCAACTTTCAGATATATATGGGCCTTGTACATTGCATCTGTTTGGGCAACAAATACCTGTGTGGGTTCTGTGAGTAACTTGCCTATAGATAAGTAGGTATTCTGAGTATATTAAATCTTCAATGCGATGGTTATTTTCTTCAACAGATCATGAATTTCTGGATGGCTTAATAGAAATGCACATTTACTCCCTTCATTGAGCATTGTTTGCCTGACTGTGGTCTTTGCAGCTGAAAGACCTTCATGGCAACATATGACTGAGGCCCAGAGGCCCACAGCCCAAATTCACTTGTACTTAGAAATGCAGATTTATGATTCTGTGATATATTAGCTCTGTGTTGCTTCAGTTTGGAAATTAAAATGATGTATTTTTCTATTGATTATGTCATGATCTTCTTGTTGGGTACTTTATTTTTTGCTTTGTTTTCCTGGCTTTCTGTTTGTATTTACCATCAAGTTAGCATAGTTCTGTCCTCTTCTATATGTAAATTGAGTATTTTTATTTGTTACATAGATCATGAAATGAATACTTTATTCCTTTGAGGTGTTAAGCCTTTTTCCTGCTGGCTTAGCTATTGTGATCTTTTTTCAGTAGAGCAGGTCATTTTTAACCCATATAAATGTAAACCCACATAAATCATATAGTCAACTTTTCCTTAACAACTGTAGTTTTGAGAGGGTGAAAAAAATTAAAAGTAACTCTCCAAACAGGTATTTTATGATAAAGCAGTATATGTAGGTTTATCCAAAAGTAATGCTTATTTATTTTGGTGGAAACTACAACAAATATCAAGAGAACAATAATGCTATTTGTCAGAGAATATTCTCAGCTAAAAACACTATTTTTTAACATAGTTATCACCATGATCTATACATTTTTGCTAGCCATAAACAAGAGCCTGAATTCCAAGCTTGTGAAGATCTCCATGGCAGTCTGGAACATGGCTTGTCTTTGCCACTGCTACAGTGCACCACTCCAGTGCCTTACTGTGCTCATATCCACTGTTTGGTCTCCATAAACATTCAACAAACATCAATGAATGTCAATGGGAACAATTTTTTCCATATGGGGGAATTCAGTGACACATCTTTGGTTCATACACATGGCCATGTCAGATGCTGTTTTGCCAAACTGACCCTCTGCTGCCATGTGTTGTATAACAACAAAATGTTAAGGGAATTTTGGTGAGAAGGTTCAAATGCTTTACTACTAACATCTCCCTTCGATGTCATAGGCCAACATAAGATAATAAGAGGCATTACTTTCATAGCAGACCATGTAAAATAGGAAGCATTACTTGCAGAGTAGCCCTCATAGTTTTCATAACAGCAAGCTTTGTAGATTATGGCCAGTATGGGTACATCTTGAGACTGGTGTTCAACATCTTTATTAACAGATGTGAGACTGTGAGGTTGAGTGTATGCTCAGCAAGTTTGTTGATAACACTGAGTGGTGCAGTCACTACAATAGAGGGAAGGATATCATCCAGAGGCACCTGGACAGGCTTGAAAAGTGAGCCCATGAGAACTAATGAGGCTCAGTAAGGTTCAAAAGCAAGGTGTTGCACTTGGACTGAGACAATCCTAGATGTGAATATAGAGAGAATGAGAAAAGAACTCATTGACGTCAGCCATCCAGAGAAGGACTAGGGATTCTGTTTGATGAAAAGCTGGACAGGAGCCAGCAGTATAACAGTAGAATCATAGAATCACAAGGTTGGAAAGGACCTACAAGATACATCTAGTCCAACTGTCCTCCCACCACCATTGTTGCCACAAGCTACTAAACCATATCTGCTTACTCCTCATCCAGACGCCTCTTGAACACTGCCAGGGATAGCAACTCCACCACCTCCCTGGGCAGGCCATTCCAATGCCTGACCACTCTCTGAGAGAAAAAGTTTTTCCTTCTATCTTATCTAAACGTCCTTTGGTACAACTTGTGGCCATTTTCTTGGGTTTTGTTTGTTGCCTGAGAGAAGAGGCCAAACCCCTCCTCACCACAACCAATAAGGTCTCCTCTGAGCCACCTCTTCTCCAGACTAAATAAATCCCAGCTTTCTCAGCCGCTCCTTATTGGGGTTGTGCTCCAGACCCCTCACGAGTTTCATTGCCTTTCTCTGGATACATTCCCGGGGTCTTAATGTCATTCTTGTAGTGAGGGGCTCAAATCTGAACACAGTACTCGAGGTGCGGCCTCACCAGTGCTGAGAGCAGGGGGATGATCACCTCTCTGCTCCTGCTGGCCACACTTTCTAATGCAGGCCAGGATGCTGTTGGCCCTCTTGGCCAACTGAGCACACTGTTGGCTCATGTTCAGCCAAGCATCAAACAACACCCCCAGGTCCCTTTCCTCTTCACAGTCATCCAGCCACTCAGCCTGAAGCCTATAGCGCTGCATGGGATTATTGTGGCCAAAGTGCAGGACCCAGCACTTGGCCTTGTTGAATCTCATCCCATTCACCTCAGCCCAGTGATCCAACTTATCTAAATCCCTCTGAAGGGCCTCCCTACCCTCAGGCAGATTGACACTACCTTCCATTTTGTTTTCATCTGCAAACTTACTGAGGATACACTCAATCCCTTCATCTAAGTCATCAATAAAGATATTAAACAAGATGGGCCCCAGTACCGACCCCTGGGGGACACCTCTTGTAACAGGTCACCTGACTTAACTCCATTAACCACGACTCATTGGGCACAGCCCTCTACCCAGTTCCTTACCCAAAAAGGTATACCTGTCCAGACCACAGGCAGCCAGTTTCCCTTGTCAAAAACTTTGCTGTCAAAGGCTTTGCTGAAATTTAGATAGACTACATCGACAGCCTTTCCTTCATCTACCAGTCTGCTCACCCAGTCATAGAAGGAGATGAGGTTGGTCAAGCATGGCTTGCCTTTCATGAACCTGTGCTGGGTTGGTCTGATCCCCTGGAATCCACGCATGCGCTGTGTGATCTCACCCAAGATGATTTGCTCTGTAGCTTTCCCTAGTACCGAGGTCAGGCCAATAGGCCTGTGGTTCCCCAGATCCTCCTTACAGCCCTTCTTGTAGATGGGAGCCACATTGGTAAGCCTCCTTCATGCAGCCTGGAAGGCCAGTGGTGTCCTGGACTACATCTGAAGAGTGGTGACCAGCAGAGAGAGGGAGGTGATTGTCCCCCTCTTCTCTACCCTGGTGAGACCCCCACCCTGAAGTACTGTGTAGTAGGTTCTCCAGGCCTGGTCAAGAAGGATATGTAACAGTTGGAGCGTGTCCAGAGAAGTCCCACAAAGATGGTCAGAGGGCTGAAGCACCACACCTATGAAGAAATGTTGAGGGAATTGTTTCTCTTGGAGAGGAGAAGACTCTGGGAAGACCTCATTGCAATCTTCTAGAAAGGATCTTACAAGGAGATGGGGAACCAACTTTTTACACAGGTGGAAAATGACAGGACAAGGGCAAGGGGAAATGGTTTTAAACTGAAATAGGGGAGATTTCAGTTTGATGTTAGGAAGAAATTTGGAAGAAACCTGTTCCAATGCAATGAGGCATTGGAACAGGTTGCCCAGAGGAGTTGTGGATGTCCCATTCCCGGGGGCGTTGAAGGCCAGGCTTGGTGGGTTCCTGGGCACTCTGGTCACGTGCTTGGCAACCCTGCCCATGGCAAGGAGTTGGAACTAAATTATGTTTGAGCACCCTTTCAACCAAAGCCATTCTGTGATTCTACAGAATTAAAGAGAAACTCAGCTTTTAGTGGACCTTCTAAGCTGTTCTCTTATTCTCAGTAATAAGTGTTTATGTTCCTTGTGTCAGAAGGGTGCTTTTGTTAGATAAAAGTATTGCGAGCAAGACTGTATGCAGTGATTCAAAAAGTACTCTTTACGTTTCTTTTAGACAAATGTTCTGAACAGAAACAAAAGGAAAACAATGGCCTGTCTTACAATGGCTAATATAGAAGGCACAGCAACTGGCACTGTACACCAGAATGGTGACATCCTTGGGAATACTAGGGCACCCAAGCAGACAGAGCCATTGCTTCAAGTGTACCTTTATTATTCACCTGGGAAGACAGGAGGAGATTATCTTCAATTTCCAGCTGGAGAATACATTGCAGAAGAGATTTGCACTGTTGCCTGCAAAGCATGTGGTAAGTATACATGCTGTGGTTTTTTTGACAGTGTAATTGCACTTGATGCAAGAGAGCTTTTAATAAACCAAAGCTCATCATAATACTGGTGTTTTAACAGAAATGCTAATCTCTTTAATGTTTTTCAACTCATCATTATCAGCAGTGATTAGCGCAAGGCTTCTGTTGCTATCAGAAAGCTTGTGAAGCTGCAATTATAATCTGGTGACCATGTCTACTACATTCATTTGTATTTGTAATATATATGTTAATATATATATATATAATATATGTAATATATATGTAAAATATATATGTTTATATATTTATGTAAATATAAGTATGTAATATAAATGTATAATGCATATTTTTATATTTATTTATATTATTTATTTACTTTAAATGCTTCACTTTACTATGTATTTATTTACTATAAATGAATCACTTTTTAGATGGAAAATGGTATATTAGATTAACATGAGCACTATGTCTGTGGCCTTTTTCTTTTGAATCGTTTACAAAGTTAAGTCAGCAAATATGTAATCAACTTTAGAATAAATAAATAAATAATCCTATGTCTAGTTAACAATGCCTTTCAATTGTTACATTTACCCAGACCATAGATAGGTGCTGAGACCTATAGTAAAACAATTTGAATGTGTTTTGTGCGAGGATTTTTCCTTTCATTGCAGTAACAGCTTGAATCGCTGAATTTGGGCAATTTGGATACAAAAAAAATTAATCTCAAAGTCCAGATGCTAAAGAGACTTTATTATGCACATGTGTGCACCTGCACACAGTGTCTCTGTCTCTTTTTGGGACTGTCCATCTTACAAGACTTTGTCTTTTAGTTCTCCAAATGCCACATTTCAGGTGCAAATGACTTTAAAAGAAGCGATCATAATTTCAGGTATTTGTTTTCCAGTGAGTCACAAACGTGTACCCACTTTGGAAGCGTCTCCTTAGTGATTTATCGATTATTGTGAATTCTGTAGTAAGAGAACATTACTTAGCATTGTTGCCAGTGTTTTTGGTGGGTGTTTTTGGACTTTTCTTTTAATACTAACATGGCTGTAATATCCTCAAGTACAGTATTTAATAAGTATGTAAGGCTAGTTGGCATAGGGGAGGAGGTTCTTCAGTTTTTGAATGCTGAAGTGGTGAATTTTTTACAGTAGATTATATTTGTTCCCATAAAACATTTAACTGCTACTGCAGTGAAGGACCAGTGCTGAGGGGATTAACTAGAGAATGATTTCACTAGAAAGTGGAGGAATAAAATGTTCTTTAAGTTTAATCTTCTCATATCAACTTGCCAGAATATTGAAGTAATAAGGTCTTGTGTACGTCAAACTTAGTATGTTTGATGTATGTCTATGTTAGAATAGCATAGTCTTTGAAGGAATATATTGTGTGATCAGCTGGGATGACATCAGGTACTTTCTTTTTCTTACTATTTATTTGACTAGGTTATTTTTGTCATAGAGAGAACGTCATAAATTCTTCTAACTCATCTAACAAATCAGTTATTTAAAACTCAGCTTCCAGAAAACAGGCAACTTACTTCTGTTATTTCTTGTCTACTTTTTATTTCCATTTTCTCTTCTCTAATTTAAATTCACCTTTTTTCAGTTTTCAAATGTTCGTTTAGAGTCATGGTTTTTTCCATCCTTTCCCCATCACCACTGCTAGAGAGACACTTACATTACCATCATTATATTATTTTTAGATCATTTTTAATGAAGATTTTTGATGGATTTCAATAGTTTGTATGTCTTAACTATTTCCATTTTTTACTGTCTTCTGCACCATCTCCAATTTCCCATGAATATGTGCAGACCAGGTCGTGTACAATATTCTTCTTGTCCATGTCACAAACATGCAAGATATAATTCCTGCTAACCTAAGAATCCAATTGGTTGTATTTCCCATGACATTATCTAAAGACTTCACGTTTCTTGTTTTCTCAGACGCCACCAGTCTTTCTCAAGGCTTCTAGCTTCCATTTTGTGGGTTTGGCTGGTTTCTAGCTCCCAGATGTATCCTTCTATAACTGACTATTTTAGGAAATAATTTTGTATAAACAGAATTCCTTACTGAGTGGGTTTTATCTTTTTAGCTATTGTTACATCACTCTCTATCAGTTTGCAATTCATATTTGTAGTGGTGTTGTAATTGCTTCTATAAATGAAATATTTTGTTATCTTGAGCCTTCATCCTTTTAAAGCTAAGATGGAGAAAGTCTTCTGAAGAGTGGTTTCTGCCTGACAGCTACCATGGCAGTATTTTGCTGCCAGATTGTCAGAGGAATTTGTAACTTCATTACCTTCTGAATTGGTGTGAAGACTGAAACGGTTTTTATATATAGGGCTTCTTTTTCTTTTTCATAATAGTTATCAGTTCTTAAATTACAAACTATCACTTCTAATCATTTTCACTTTTTTTTTTTTTTTTTTTTTTTCAATGAGATTTTATGCTTGTAGGTCTGCATAGCATACATACTCCAAGAATGCTTAAACTGGCAAGAATTTTCAGGAATTTTCTATGAATCAATATACTTGATAAAGAAGAGAGTAGTTTAGGTAGTAGGAATGTCTGAGGTGCAATAAATTTGGAAAATATTGAAGAACTTTCTCTATGATTTGAGTAACTGCTAGATCCCTTGATGGCAGACCTGGTTACATCAAAGTATGAATGCTGCTTGTGGCTAGCAGTCTTGTGTACCTTTTAGACAAGTTAGACAATTGAAGGTTTTCCTATCTCAGCTGGCTTGGCTTCAAATCTGCTGAATATGGTGTATATTAGCTCTATAAATTTTCATCTGTGTAAATATTCTGTAGTTGAGTGCCAGTTCAAGACATTCATGTAGTGGCTAGGTTTTTCCTCTTTTTATTAAAGACAAACAAACAAAAAAGCAGCATTCAATTTTGGGAAAAATGTAGTTAATACAAACCTTCTTGTATGTTGTTTGGATTTTGATATTAAAAACTCTCAGAACACAAAACTGACAAATTTTCTAACCAGAACTGTTGACTTTAAGGTTAAATCAATGAGTTGTTTTCAGCAATCAGCCTTACCTATGTCATCTGCCCTGTAAGATGACTCTAAAATAGTTGCAACAAAATGAAGGGAAGCCTTAACCAAAGAAAGGAAATGATATTAGAACAAGTAACTATCAAAATGAGATACAAAAAATTATTCTAGAGGTTATAGCATCATTGCATTAGATTCATTTTCTAAATTCGGTATCTGAGATCTGTTTTTGCTAATGACCATCTTAAATCCTTTCCCTTTCTCTTCTCCTTCAAATTAATCTAAAATGAAATTACACTTTTAAATAGTTTTTAGTATTTATATTTTTTACTAAAAAAAAAAAAAAAAGCATAATCAGTGTAGATGTGGAGCTATGAAAGCACAGTGAGGAAAGGGAGGAGCTCTATAAAAATGTTTTTGCTGTGGTATTTTTTTAGGCTTGAGGTAGAAGTTTGAGGATTAAAACTATGCTGTGTTAAAGACTTTCATGATGTTGCTTGACAAATGGTATAGGGTGCTGTGGCTTTTTTGTTTAGTCTTGTCTACTAAACGAAATACTTGCCAAGAGACAGCTCTGTTTTTGTTTGCTGTAGTCCAGACAATCTGCTTAATAGCCTTGGTAGGCATGAAAAGTGGAGAGTAATTCTACTTTATTATGTCTGAGTCACTGTTGCCTCTTCTAACTATTCTTTGTTTTATTTGCTAATGTGATTAGTGAAGTGTAGAAAACCAGTGGAGGTTTTTAATACCTCTTTGAACAGCTTTTCTGATTTTACTTGTATTGAAAATGATTTCTCAGAAATTTTCACTATTGGTTAATTGTCTAGGTTTCATGTGAAGGCTTAGACGCACAGACACCCTTTCCCTCCTCCCACTCTTCCCCATCCTTTTTGGTTTTCATTGTTTCTGTAGAAAACACTTAAGTCCTCATAGTGCTAGTTGTTTGAAATATCCCTGCAATTACTAGTGCTGCCAAAATTTACAAGAAAAAGGAAGTGTTTGAACTTTGCTTTCATCAGACCTTAAAGGACAACTTTCAAGACCCTAATAAATGGGTTTTCTCTAAATGCGTAACGGTAGAAAATTTTTCAAGTCTGGCAACATTTTGATGCTGATGCTAATATATATAATTTCCCTCTCCTCCACGTTTTCTTTCCTCCTTAGGAATTAAGAGGTTTAACACCCTTTCTTGATGAACACATGATCTATATGTCCCCAAGCACTAGCAGTGAAAGATACCAACTACCATATGAAATTACAAATGATTAAGTATGAAGGATGGATGAGTGCTTAAATTACTTCCTAAGCATAGGAGGGAAGCAAAGGTGGATTTCTTTTTGTTTTGTTAATGACTATATTTCACCTTGTAGGGAGAATTTCAAAGTCCTGTTCCTCACTTAAGAAATCAGTTTCTGCTGTGAATGGCAGTGATGTGATCTGGGTTGAAGTATTGAAGTGTTGTGTGTAAATGTGTGTGTTTCTCTTTATTTTTATTTGTTTTTTTTTTTCTGTAATGTACTTGGTGAAACACAATACCTTAGCATTTGAGTTTAAAAATTACTTGGAATTGTTCAGTGACCTTATTTCAGATTTTAATGGGGTAATATCTTAATGAGACTACATAAATATTCAACACTGTCTTCAGTGGTGTCTGGCATCTGGCTAGAATCTCAAATAGGTTGGTAATTTACTTGCGTTATACTGTAAAATATTCTGTGATAATTTGGTATGCATACGCCACACAGACTCAGAACTGAAGTCAGTTATTGTTGCTTTGAAGACTGGTAATCTGTAATATGAACTGATCTGATTTCACAACTGAATTCAGTTGCATAGGATTAGGGTTAGGACAGACTTGTTCTTAACTCCAGAAAAAAAATGTAATTAGTTGTTTTTTGTTTTTTGTTTTTTGTTTTTTTTTAAATCTAAGATCAAATATTTCTTACTGTACCATTTGCTACATCCTGGTTTACACTCAGTCCCTCATTTGTTAATCTGTTCAGAGTTATTCTTGTGGGATTTTTTTTTTGTTTTCATTCCTCTTTGGTTACTTCACATAGTTCCTTCTGTTATCTTCCATTGAAAATCACGTGTTAGTATCTGTAGACCTGGCACGTTTTGGTGAGCTGTCTCAGATGATTAGCTTGTAGATTTCAACAGCTTAATCTGACAGCTACACAAGAGCACTTGCTCTTAGCCTTGTTGCTGGCTCCTTGCCCACAACATACTCAATTTATAAGTAGTTTAAGCTTGTTCTTAAGGAGAGAATTACTTTTTGTTCTATGTGCTTACGCAGTTTTATACCTAGAGTTGATTCGTTTGTTTCTAAATGATTAAATGTGCTTTAGATTTGATGACAAGGGCCTACCTCCTTCAATAATTACCTGCACTTAGACATTGTTACAAACCTCTAGCTGGGAACTGTGGGAGCAAACTCCCCCAGCCACTGTAAGGGCAGAGCAAGTCTGAGGTCAGCTCATGAGTCTGAGTGTGTGCAAGTCCATGGGGCCAGACAACACGTATCACAGGGTTTTGAGGGAGCTGGCTGATGTAGTTGTTGAGATGCTCTCCATCATATTTCATAAGTCATGGCTGACAGGCAAAATCCCTGGGGACTGGAAAAAGAGAAACATCACTCCCATTTTCAAGAGAGGAAGGAGGTGTCAGGGAACTACAAGCTGGCGGACCTCACCTCTGTGCCTGGGAAGATCATGTAACAGATCTTCATAAAAGACATGTTAAGGCATGTGATGGATGAGTAGATGATCCGAAACAGGCAGCATGGCTTCACCAAGGGCAGAGTTGTGCCTGCGGACAAAGAGAGGGCAACTGATGTCACCTACCTGGAGTTGTGCAAGGCCTTTGACATGATCCCGCACCACATCCTTATCTCGAAACTGGAAAGATAAAGATTTGAAGGGTGGGCTTTTCAGTGGATAAGGGATTGGTTGGAATTTTGAATCCAGAAGGTTGTGATCAGTGGTTGTATGTCCAAGTGGAGGCTGGTAATAAGTAGTGTCCCACAGGGGTCAATCTTGGGACCAGTACTCCCTGTCAGTGAGACAGATGATGGGATTGAATGCACCCTCAGCAAGTTTGTTGATGTCACCAAGCTGAGTGGTGTGACTGACAGAGCAAAAGGAAGGAAGGCCATCTAGAGGAACCTAGATAAACTTGAAAGGTGGGCCCTGGTGGACCTAATGAGATTCAACAAAATAAACTGGAAGGTTTTGCACTTGAGTGAAGGTAATCCCAGATATGTATACAAACCAGAAGAAGAACTCCTTGGGAGTAGCATTGCTGAGAAGGACTTTATGGATCCTGGTTGATGAAAAACCTAACATGAACCAGGAATGCACACTTGCACTCTGGAAGGCCAATGTTATCCTGGGTTCTATCAGAAGAGGGATGGCCAGCAGGGCAAGGGAAGTGATTGTCCCCCTCTACTCTGCCCTTGTGAGACCCAGACTAGAATACTGCATCTCTAAGTCTGGGCCCTCCAACACAGTGAAGATGCGGAGCTTTTGGAGAGAGCTCAGAGGAGGGCAATGAAGATGTTTCAAGAGCTGTAAACCTCTCCTGTTAAGACAGGCTGAAGAAACTGGGCTTATTCAAAATGGAAAAGAAGAGAAGGCTGCAGGGAGACTTCATTGCAGCCTTCCAATATTTAAAGTTTAAAAAATTAGAAATATGAGGGAAATCAACTTTTTACATGGGTAGCTAGCAGTAGGACAAGGGAGAATGATTTTAAACTAAGGAAAGGAAGATTTAGATTAGATGTCAGGGGGAAGTTTTTTTTGCTGACAGTGGTGAGGTCCTGGAACATGTTGCCCAGAGAGATTGTGGATACCCTATTCTTGAAGGTGTTTAGGGCCAGTTTGGATAGGGCCTTGGGCAGTCTGATCTAGTAAGACCTAGCAGTTGGCAACCGTGCCTGTGGCCAGTGTTGGGGCTTTATGGTCCTTGGCATCCCCCTGAACCCAAGTTGTTCTGTGATTCTGTGAAGTCTATAAAAACTTTTTCTTTCTCTTGATTTCTGTGTGAATTTCTGTCATTTCCTTCTAAGTCTTCGGGATGGGATTGATTTTTAGTGTTTTGCCTCTTGCCAGAATTCTTGTGTCTCTTAACATTATTTGCAATTGCATTTGTTTTCACTATCTGTGAGGTATTTAAAATATTTGTGTTTATTTCGTAGAATAGAGTCATAGAATCACCAAGGTTGGAAAAGACCTTTAAGACCATCTGGTCCAACTGTCCTCCTACTAGCAATATTTTCCAACTGAACCATGTCCCCTTAGTACCACATCTGAATGGTTTTTTGAACACTTCCAGGGATGGTGACTCAACCATATCCCTGAGCAGCCCTTTCCAGCACTCGACCACTTTCAGAGAAGAAATGTTTCCTAATATCCAACCTAAACCTCCTTCAGTGCAACTTGAGACAGTTCCTTCCAGTCCTATAGCAAACTGTGTGGGAGAAGACACTGACCCAAACTTGACCAACTGCCTCCCTTCAAGTAGTTGTAGAGAGCTATTGTCTCCTTGAACCTCTTCTTCTGCAGGCTGAGCAATCCCAGTTCCTTCAGCCACACCTCATAAAGTTTGTGCTCCAGATCTCTCACCAGCTTCCCTGACCTTCTCTGGGCATGACCCAGGGTCTTGATGTCTTTCTTGTAGTGAGGGCCCCAAAACTGGACACAGTACTTGAGATGTAACCTCACCAGAGCAGAATATTAGGGGACGATCACCTGCCTGGTCCAGCTGACTAACTGGGCATACTGCTGTCTCATGTTCAGCCAACTATTTTAATCCCCAGGTTCATTTCCTTATCTTGACTTTCACCCTACAACTTTTATCTTACTCTCTGATCTGTGCACCTGTATCCCATTATGTCTTGTAAGTTTTTCAGTGGTTGAATTTCTTTCTTTAATACTGCAAAGTCTTGGATATCTAACCTGTTTTCCAAATCATAACACTGGCATCACACACAACAGTATGGTATATTACAGAACTTTGTTGTCTGTCTTTCAAGGTAGACTGTACCCTGCAGTTAGAAGCCTCAAAGGCAAATTATAATTTTGTGCTTCTGAAGATCTTGTACTTCACAGATTTACACAGTTTAAAAGTAGAATTGATTCTCAGTTCTCACTGAAAGAGTTCTCTGAAAGAGAGCTTTCTGAGGGGAAAAAAATATATCCATTTTTGTACATTTGGTTTTGTTCTTAACTGAGTGTAAATGGCAGGTTGTTCTAGTAATGATGGGCTCTGATTACTCATCAATCAGGAATAATGAAATCAATAGCTAGATTGGATTTTTGGAAAAGGTAAGGACAAAGTAACGTACTGTTGTTGATTGTTACTTCTTGAACTAAAAGGCTAATAATCCATTGTATTAAATGCCATCCAGATAAAATCTTATAATTTGAACATTAAGAATAGAGTAACAAGTAAGTACAATCTTGTTAAAGAATGAGAAAACAAACCAGAAAAAAATCTGCAGGTTTTAAGATGATCTCTGCAATGCTGTTGACACTGGTAGAGCTGTGTAATGAATAGTTGGAGAACATGTGTTATCTACTACTCTTACCAATGTAATTTTCATAGTAAGATTGATTCTCTATGAAAACAAATTCTTAAAAATACTTCTCTGTTCTTTATTTAGGTATCATGCCAGTGTATCATAACATGTTTGCACTCATGAGTGAAACAGATAGAGTTTGGTATCCTCCAAATCACATTTTTCACATAGATGAAGCAACCAGACTAATACTACTGTACCGGATAAGGTAATCCAAAGCAAATGTTACACACTTTTCATGATAGTATAGAAGTGTGTGAGGAAAATACAGTCAGTAATGTAGTTAGATGAACTGTAATTTCTCTGTTTCAGACACTGTTGGTGAGATCTGGATAAAAGACAGATAAGAGAATAAAAATCAAGTAATTTCAGTTGTATATGTATTATATGTATGCCATTTCAAATTGGAGAAAGAAAAAATTCAAATGTATGAGGAATTAAAATAATATTGTTCTTAGGAGCACTACATCTCTATCTCCTTACTTGCCCATTTGGAGTCAGTAGGAGTTGTGAAATGCAGAATGATTATTTTAGTCAGGTGGATGCCTGCAGTAGATCCATTTTTGTCTACCCTGATTTCTGAATGCGGGCTTCTAAATCTACAATCACCATTTTCCTTAGGGAATAGGCCACTTTTTCTTTACATTGCATAATGTAACCTGATAACTTGATTGTTTCTTTAGGAATTGTTTTAGAGGAAACTGAAAGAGTAACACAAGATCTTCTGTATTCTGATTAGTAAGGGTAGATTTGCAGAGCTCATTGTTTTTACCAGTGCAACTTCTCACCCTCTAAGTGTTGTACTACACACCAAGAACTAGATCAAATCCTTCTGTTGACTTTGGAGGGCTTAATATTGGCTTTTCAGAGCAGCAGAACAGCCAGCACTTACTTTAGGTCTACAAAATATGTAATTTTTGGTGTTGGTAAACAAGCATATATTTTCACTGTCATTTACTTAAATATTTTTTAACAGGTTTTATTTTCCTCACTGGTATTGCAATGGCACAAGCAGAGCATATCGCTATGGCATTATTCGGGGTTCAGAAAGCCCTGTTCTTGATGATCTTGTCATGTCTTACCTATTTGCACAGGTATGATTTTCTTGATTATATCTTTAAAATGCAGACTTAGAAAGGTTGATGGTATTTCTCCCTTTCACTTCTAATAGTAGTTATGCAAATTCTTTTGACAGTTTGAAGCTTTTAAACAGAAAAATTAAAGCTTGTGTCACATTGTATTTCTGCAGAGGTGAAGTTCAAATGGCGGTTGTGGGGAGAGCAGGGAGACTGTGCAGTTCCCATCTAGTGCCACCACGTGAAAATCTTTCTACTGTGACTTTCATTTTGGACTGTTATAATGTGGAACAACATTCTCCACGTATGTTAGCAGTGCAGTTTGCATGACAAGTTGCTGTCTGTCTGCCATTTCCAACAGCTCTGGTTATGGTATCCACTCAGCAGATAGTTGTGTCTTCTGTGACACCTATAGCCTTTCCAACTACAGAAACTGATGCAGTTACACAGAGTTCCTGAAGGAACATGAAGCAATCCAGGTTTCAGGTTGCAGGATGTGCCCAAGCTTTCCATCAGTGTCTGGTGACAGCAGTGAGTACACCTGTAGGAAATATGACCAGATGGAAGTATTTCTCAGCCTGTGGACAGAGCTTTGGGAGGAGATGAGTGGGCTGATGAACATCAGGAAGTTGAAGGAGACTGACTGGCGGAGCTGTTCTCTGCCATCCCCAAGACAGATGCTTTAGCTGACCACAGCAAGAGAAATGAAGGGCTACCTCTCTTCTCAAAAACAGGAGGAAGGAAGGTAGCAAGGAGAGAGAGGGGAATAGAGGCAGGTTTCTGCTCGGAGTGGCAGGTGAATCTCCTCCCTGCCCATCTCACCCTCACATTCAGGTGCCCTTTTACATAAGGAAAGAAGCTTTGGAATTTGATGAACAGATAGATGATGTAGATGAAGGTTCATCCAGGCTGCAGGATCACCTAGGGCTAGACAGCCTTTCACCCATATCATGAGCACCTTGGTCAATACAAGAAGTGTTTTTGTGATAGGTGACTCCTTTCTGAGAGGAACAGAGGGTCTCATATACCGAACAGACTCAAACCATAGGAAAGTCTATTGCCATCTTGGGTAAGAGACATCACTACAAAACTCACTACCCTGGTGTGTTTCTCTACTTAATGTCTATTAGTGGGTTTTCATGTCCATGGTGATGAGGTAGCAAAAAAGTCCAAGAGAAATCAGAAGGGACATCAGGGTCTTGGGGTTATATTTTTCTCTATCCTCCCAGAAGCCTGGAGCAATGTTGAAAGGAACAGGCAGACCCAGGTGTTGAAGCCAAGACCCAGGTGGCTCCAAGGCTGGTGTCACCTGCAGAATTTTGCTTCTTGATCTTGGAATAGCCTTCTCAAGTTGAGACCCACTGGCAACCACTGAGTTGCACCTTTCTTAGAAGGTGGGAAGACTTCTGTGCTTGAGCTAGCAGAACTGATTGATAGAGCTTTAAACTAGTTTTGAAGGGGAAAAGAATAGAGCCAGTCTCACCAGTATTAAGTTATGGAATGACAAAATTTAAGGGCATTATTGGCATAATTGAAATCTGTTGGGAGGAATCCTGGGACCCTGTGTGATGAGGGATGGTTATAGATTCATCAACAGAGAGACATAGGCAGGGCATATAAAGTGGAAATGTGGTGCTGGGTATGAGGAAGGGCCTGGAGTGCATGAAGCTTGTAGTTGGCAGTGAGATGGTTAAGAGCCTTGGGGTAGGGATTAAGGGACAAGCAAATAGACCTTCAAACAACATCCACTTTATTACATGTCTTCCAGCTGAGATGATAACATCAGTGAATCATTACTGAAGGAAATAAGAGACCTCATGATCAACTGCCCTTGTGACTTCAATTTGTCAGGCTTAAACTGGGAATACCACACAGCTGATACAGACAGATTCAGAATATTCCTAATACACCATGAATAACTTTCTGGTACAGGTACCAAGGGAGCCAATGAGAAAAGATGCCCTACTAGATTTGCTGCTTATGAGCTGAGAAGGTCTTGTGAGTGAAATGGCAATTAGTGGCTGTCTTAACTGTAGTGACTATGATGTTGTATAGTTTATAATCTTTAGTGGCAGGGTGAAAACTGCCATCAAGACTTCAGCTTTGGATGTGAAGAAAGCAGACTTCAGGCTGCCCAGGAAACTGGTTAGAAGTGTCTGCTGGGAAACTAGTTTGAAGGTGTTGGGGTTCATCAGTGCTGGTCTGTTTTTGAGTAACACCTCTTAAAAGCCCAGGAACAAGCAGTTCCAAAGTGTCAGAAGTCAACAAAGCAGGGCAGAAAGCTGGTTTGGCTCAACGGGGATCTTCACCTAGAGCTCAGGCAGAAAAAAGGAAAGTGTGTGGCCACTGAAAGTGAGGTTAGGCAGTATTGTAGGAGTATAGGAGTGCTGTTCCCTTCTGTAGGGAGAAAATTTGTACAAAAAAAAAAAAGAAAAGGTCAGTAAGAATTGAAGCTGACCAACAGAGAGAATAACAGACTTTTAAAAAAATTTTGATGTAAACAGGGCTAGAGATCGGACTGGTGACCAGTCACTAGTGTGGGATTCTGGAAGCTTCCATTTTTAAGGCCTGTTATTAATGTTTTCATCAATGACTTGGATAAAGACTGGAAGGTATAGTAAGTAAGTTTGCAAAGAACGCTGAATTAGGAGAAGCTGTAGACTCTCTAAAAGACATCTTGAGAGATAGAGCTGGAAAATCATCAACCAAATGAAGTATAAGAAGAGGAAGTGCCAGATTCTCCAATCCTAGATATATGTATAGAGTGGGGGGACAAGAGTCTAGAGAGCAGCACCACAGAAACAGATCTCTGTGTTCTGGTTGATGGCAAGTTGAACAGGAGACAGCACTATGCACTGGCAACCAATAGGGCTAACCATGCCTTCATGCTTATCAGGTACATCATTGCCAGCCAGTCAAAGGGAGGAATTGTCTCACCCTGCTCTGTACTGGTATGACCTCACCTTGAGTACTGTGTGCAGTTTTGGATGACACAATATAAAAATATAAAACTACTAGTGTCCAAAGGAGCGCTACAAAGATGTGGTAAAGGGTCTAGAGGGGAAGATGTATGAGGTGCATCAGAGGTCCCTTAGTTTGCTTAGGCTAGATAAGAGGAGGCTGAGGGGAGACTTCATGGTGGCCTACAGCTCCTCACGAGGGGAGCGGAGAGGCAATGCTAACCTCTACTCTCTACTTGCAGCAACAGTACTTGAGGGAATGGTACAGTGCTGTGTCAGGTGAGGCTCAGGCTGGGGATTAGGAAAAGGTTCTTCATCAAAGAATGATCAGTCACTGGATCAGGCTCTCCAAAGCAGTGGTCATGGCATCAAGCCTGCTGGAGTTCAAACAGCATTTGGACAGTGCTTTCAGAAATATTATCTGATTTACGAGAGTCCTTTGTGGAGCTAGGAGGTGCATTTGATGATATCTTTCCTTCCCTTCCAATTCAGGATATTCTGTGGCTCTGTGACACACGGACCTAGTAAAGATTTTAATCAAGCACATTTTGAGAACAGTTTCTAATCACAATTGTATCTGGTGTCCAGTATGAGCATGTGTAGTTCTCTGGAAATGGAAAGTTTCACTTAAAAGAATGTAGAATAAATAGCAAAACCAACAAAATAAAATTATAACACTGCAGTTCATGTACAAATATTTTTAGTTGCTTTCTTGCATTTTTCTTCAGTGGCGAGATGATTTTTTGGGTGGATGGATACAGATGCCTGTCACTCATGAAACGCAGGAAGAATGCCTTGGAATGGCTGTTCTGGATATGATGAGGGTGGCCAAGGAAAAGGACCAAACGCCACTGGCTGTTTACAACTCAATTAGGTAACTCAATAGTTCATAACTGTGTAATACCTGTTATCTATAGATATTAATTTTGCACCCTAGTCTGTCACGAGTTGAAGATCTTTTGTCCCATAGCAAGTGGGGCCCCCTTTCCCCTCCCCATTCCCCTGCAGAAAGAAAGCAGAGAAGTGAAAAGGAGAGATTACAGCTCAAGTGAGAGAGAAGCTCATTTACTAGAAACGGTAAAGGAATGTGTGATAATACAGCACAAAAGGAATCAAGGGTAATAAAGAGGGCAGAGAAACATCCTTCTGACTGTGCTGCAAATGGTAGTATGGCCAGAAGTAAGGCCATGGAAACCATGTAAGAGTGACTGGAGCTGCTGGGAACTGTAGTTCCCAGGAGCTGCAGCTCCTCAGCAGCCATCCCAACTCTGACAGTTCACTGCATGATGTCATGGTATTGAATACCTATGAAGAGCCATGACATAGCTGTCTGGGTGGAGATGTTTAACTACTGGGGATTGATTTAGCCTTGCATATTGGTTCCATAAATTTACACATAGTGTAAGCTTGAAATCAATAGAAATCTTGTATCACAACAGCTATTCTTTTTGTTTTTCAGTACATGGATTTTTTCCAGTTCAGATCAGGGCCAGCTTCAAAGTTGAGATCAAGTTGCACAGGGCCTTGGCAGTAAAGTTCTGAAAATGTCCAGAAATGAGGATTCCACCATGCCTTTGTGAAGTTTTGACATATGTATTATCATCCTCACTAGGGAGAATTTTCTCCTCATTTGATTGATCTCTCCTCTGTGATACCACATGTACAATATCTTGTCCTATTACTGTGCATATCTGTGAAAATCCTACATCAACTAACATAACTAGTTAGTTTAACAAAATTGCTAGAACACCTTACTGGGGCCTTTTCTCCACCCTGTACAAAATTCCATAAGCCTTTTTGTTCATATTGTATGTTCCAGGCTCTTAACTATCTTTGACAAATCTCCACTAAACTTGCTTCAGTTCATCAGTGCACTCCAATTTGTCAAAGTAATCAGTTTCTGCTTCAGCTGAGTGAATTCTGGCTTGGTATTTCATTATTAGTGTTTGTCTTTTAATGAAGGCTAGCAGGTAGAGTTAAATAAAATAAGACAACAGATTGACCAGCTGATTGGAGGTGTCAAACTACATTTTTGTCTTTTGATCCAATATGGACAGTGATATGAAATACTTTCATGAGAATCAGCAGCAGTGTTACTTGTGTTCTGCCACCTATTGTATTTTCCGTAATGAACTCTAAATTCTATTTGTTGAGCATCTTCTTTCCACTCTATACACTAAACAAAGCAACTCTGTATCTTGCAATTTTTATTTATTTATTTATTTATTTATTTGTTGCTGTCTTGCCTCAGGCTTAAATAATGTCTTGAACTGATGTCCAGATATATGGAAAATGCATAATGTAATATATGTTCAAATGAAGTTGAGGGGGGACAAAAAAGGAAAATGGAAGAAGAGATAAGGCTATATTTGAAAGATTGTATTACAAGCTGAAGAAAGAATCCTTGTTATCCTAGAGCTTAAAAAGGTTACATTTGGTGGAAAATGTTTTTTTCACATCTTGTTCAGCACAGAGCTAGATATCTTTGCTGGATTTAATGGGTTAAATAATTAGTTGTGGTTTTTGTTTATTTGCTTGTTTTTTTTTTGTTTGTTTGTTTGTTTTTTTGATGGTTGTATATTCACAGCTACAAAATGTTTTTGCCTAAATGTGTGCGAGCAAAGATCCAAGAATACCACATTTTGACCCGAAAGAGAATAAGGTACAGGTTCCGTAAATTCATACAGCAGTTCAGCCAGTGCAAAGCTACTGCCAGGAACTTGAAACTTAAGTATCTCATAAACTTGGAAACCCTTCAGTCTGCCTTCTATTCAGAGGTTTTTGAAGTAAAAGAACCTGGTGGAGATCCTTCTGGAGAAGAAAGTTTTGCAACTATTGTAATAACTGGAAACGGTGGAATTCAGTGCTCAAGAGGAAAACTTAAAAACTGTGAGATGCTGGCAGAGCAGGTAATTTCTTTAAATGTATCTACTTCATTATTTTAATAGTTGCACAGTTTGTTGTTGATTAGCTTGATTAGTCTGATTAGCTTGTTAAAATTTATGTTCAATAAAATGCATGTTGTCCTTGAATTCTGTTTGAAATCAGGACTATACAGGATCCAGAAAAACAAGGCAAATTCCACTTTATATTGCTTCACTTAGACTCTTACCAGTGTCTGAACTAGCAAATTTAAAGAGATGTTTCTATAACTGCAGTCTGTTTACTCCTTTTTTCAAGAGCTAGGTGATAAGTGGTTCAATAACTTGTCATGATCTTATGCTGTTGTATTTTTATTTATCTCTATTGTTTCTTTTGTGTATGGTTTCCCAGCATGACTGTTCTTTGGTAAAATGTACCAAAATCTGGTAGTAGCTGTGTAAAGTAAGAGTGTGGGAATTTTCTGAAGGTAAGATTAAGGGCAAAGTGAAGCAGATGTCAGTTTTCCAAAATAATTACATCTATTGCTTGGTAGTTTTAATGCATAAAGTGTAGCAGTCAGACCAAACTACAAAAAAAACTGGTGACATGTTTATAATATACTATAATGATTTGTAAAAATGCCATTTTTTCCTAAAACTTAAAAAAAAAATAAATCTGATTACTTAACCAGATTTTCTACTTTTTTTTCTTAGAATGTTTGCAGATTCATTCTAGGTCCAGTAATTTCCTTTACACTATGTGGCAGTCCTCATCCTTGTGCAATTTTCTGTAGTCACTAGTTGCTCTTGCAGGAGCTGATGTTTGGTTTCTGTAGTTTCTAGTTTTTGGTGCACAAGACTTATGCATTTTGTGCTGTCATGGCAACTAAGCCTTTAGTAAGTGTAGTGTTTAAACTGATCTCTTTTCAAATTACTATTTCAGAACTATTTTTCGTAATTGATAATATTAGCATCCTTAGTGACAAAGACAGCATGTAGGCCAAATGTATTTTCACTGTTACAGAAACTGTGTACAAAATATGTTGTGAAAATTTAATGAAGGAATAAGATTGACTGTAAAAGTGATCATAACTTTCAGCAGACTCTACTGATGACACCTGATTGAAATGTTGAATTGAAACAAGATTTTTTATTTTTTGAAGTTGATAATAGCGTATGTGTGGTAAATTGTAAGGAAATTTGTTTTGCCAGTTCACATTTAATAGTAAATTAATAGAGCTTCAGAGTCTTAAATGTATTTGAGCTGATTCATGACTTCTGATAATCAATTCAGTAGTATGACATTCAGTAGTATGACATGTATTAGGATACACTTGCAGCCTTATAAATAGGATGAATTTGCTTTGGAAGAGTAGTTTAAGATAAACACATCTTTATTTAAAATGTTTAGCATTTACAGTTCTGCTGCAAGCAAAACAAGATATGACCTATATGACATGGTAATTTGACGTGTGAAATACTTAAGGAAATCAGGAATATTATATATTATTTTATTAAAAAGTCCCTGACCTGCCACCAAGTGAAAAAGTCATAGATTTCCTCGGTGGGAATCTTCTTACCTGGTCAGAGATTGTCAAAGCTGAGAAGATCTTTTCTTAAACATTTTCTCCATCAATACTATCTCCATCTCTTTGGTACCAGAACTTGCAGCTTGCATTCCTGCAAATGAAGACATCATATTCTGAAATGTTAACAGGCTCTCTAATCAGGATGTTAAAAAAAAAAAAAAAAAAAAAAAAAAGTTAAACCTGCTTTTCATTAATTTTATTAGTGTGTTTAAGGCTTGTTGAGCCTCTTCATTTCTAACTTCACAAGACTGGTATTGTAGGAATTCTAATGCTACAAATAGATGTGGGTTTTTTCAGCTGAAATTTGTTGATGATGAGGCTATGTAATTATTTGTTGTAGGATTTACAAACATATTGTGATTTTCCTGATATCATTGATGTGAGCATTAAACAAGCAAGTCAAGAAGGTTCCAGTGAGAGGAGAATTGTCACCATTCACAAACAAGACAGCAAGAATCTGGTCTGTGTACATTTGCTTGCCATTTTTGTTTTCCGTATAGATGTTGCTTTGAGCAAACTGCGGTGTTCATGGTTTTATATAACAAAATATTAGTTGTTAATTAAGCATGAGGTAAAACTGAATGCATTTTTGCAATATAAGCAGTGTATTAAAACCCTGAATATCTTGTGTGTGGACTAATGTAGACAATTCTAGCTTAAGATGATCGTGGATGGATTGATTCTCCTTTGTTGGAGCCTGAAATCTGAGTCTGTGTTTTAGCAATCTAGCATACTGTTTGTATGAAGTCATGATTAAGCTGGCTGACAGTGACCAAAAAATTGAAAAGGGGTCAAAATATTCTGGAGAAATGATAATACTTTTAAAAAAAAATGTGCACGGACATAACATTAATGTCATTGCTTCTACTTTTTAAAATGCTTTGAAGAAGATACTGGAAAATAATTTTATATGTGAGTGTAAAAAGTTGTTTTAGATTGGCCTCCAGAAACTCCCTTGCCAGCTGCTGGAAAGTCTGATTCAAGTGCCACGCAGTTCTCTTCCCTTGTCTCCATGACTGGTCTGCAGGTCTTCAGGACTCACATTCTCTCTATTTGTGTGATCAAAGAGCTTCCCCTGTTCGCATGAGGAAGCTACATACATCTTATGCACTTCTTCATAAGAATAGTAATTACAAAAAACCTCAAAAAGCATTAGTCAGTTTTTAGTCTTCCTAACATGGCTTTTGGACAAAAGCCACATGGTTCACTGATGTATGGAAGAACTGCGAATTTCTTTAATTTCTAATGTTAACGGTACAAAATTAATGGCCTGTTAAGAACTCGAAAATTTGTCTACGCCTTTTATAGAAATGTAAAAGTAGCTGAGATATCTGCAATATACATTTACAGTGCTCAGAGTATGAAAATATTTTGGATAGGAGAAAGGTGCTTTCCTTAACTATAAGCCATGAAAATTCTCTTAAATTCAGAATTTGTGAATTAAATTCTGAACATCCAGGAAATTTGCATTGACTGTTACAAATTCTCATTCTTTCTCTCCTCTTTCTCTTTTCTCTCCCCTGGCTATTTAACAGGAGGCTGAATTTCAGTCTTTAAGAGAAGCTCTCTCCTTTGTATCGTTAATTGATGGATATTACAGATTAACTGCAGATGCCCACCATTATCTCTGCAAAGAAGTAGCACCACCATCAGTGCTTGAAAATATACAAAGCAATTGCCATGGACCAATTTTGTAAGCAAATTTTAGTGATATAACAAGGTGCTGTTATTTTTGAAGGATAATTTTTAGCTGATTGTGAACCGTGATGGACGTCTTAAGATGTGCATTTATTTCACTTATGTAACAAAATGCTTTATGTTTTTCCTCATTTTTCACTTTGCAGAATAAAATACCTTGTTGGTGTATTATCAGAAATAGAACAAAGGATTCTGGCTTTAATTTTCTTCCCTTAGAATTCTGTCTTTTGTTCAAGCAAGACACAGCAAAGTCATGCTGCTGATTTTTACTGAATTACAGTTATTATCAGGGCAGCAATGTATAATGCTATAGGGGACTTCATGTTTTAACTGCAGCCTCTATTAGTTATACTATTTGAGTTACTAAAGAGAAAAAGACAAATTCAAATACAGTGAAGTGCAACCCGTGTAAATTTGAAGGTTTGCTTGTTTTTCAAGGAGTCTTGTCTCCTTGTTCTCTATCTCTGAATTTCAATACCTTCTTAGATTTCTTTTCTTAACATGGGAGCTTAGGAATGTTTTCTTAGGCAGAAAAAAATAGGTATTGGCTTTAGGTACAGAAAGCTCAAAGGTAGAATATCTACAAGATACCTTGCATAGAACTAGCACCATCCTACTTCATTAATACCAAATGCTTCTGGAAATTTCCCAATGACAGAGTATAGGTGCTGTACATATGAGGGGAGATGAAGGAGAAGAGGAACAGAGACATTTCAAAGCATGTCTTTTGCATCTTGCAGACCTAGACAAATACCATATATTGATTTTTATTTAGAACTATTTAGCATGATGTACTGTAAGTACAGAACTTTCCACACCATTCTCTTTGTAATTCCTTGAGATAGATAGAAATAGTTAGCAATGACTGGTTAGAGAGAGATTAGTTGCTGTAGTAACAAATGAAGCTTTCTTTAAAATCCCTTTTGTTATTAGTCCTTTCCCAATCTAAACTAGTCATTTTTCATGCACACAAATGCTTCTCTAATCTTAGCTTGCTTATCAGACAGTTTCACTTGAACAGGTTCTTCCATGATGGAAATTGAGAGTCATATTCATAAGCCCAAGGCAATGCCTTTTCAGACTGCCAAGTTTTTGATCAAATAGGTCAATGAGATTTAAATTGTTAAGAGTCTTTACTGCATTCTTTTGTACAGAAGCAGCTACTGTGACTACTGGAAAATAGAGAGGCAAATGAATTATTTTAAAGGAGAGTTTAAAATTCAGAATTTGTACTGTCATTGTATGAGATATCTTATAATAGTGCTCAGAAGTCATTATCTGGTCTTGTTCTTTAAAATTATGCAGTATTAATCATTTTCTTTTTATATAGCATGGACTTTGCTATCAATAAACTGAAGAAGGCAGGTAATCAGACTGGCTTCTACGTTCTTCGTTGCAGTCCTAAAGATTTTAAAAAATACTTCCTCACATTTGCTATTGAGGTTTGTATTCTGGCATGGACAATACTTCTGTAATTTCTATCATGTTGTGATAATGTGCATGGAAAGTTCAGTAAATGATTCTGGATTTTCTTTTCAGAATGGTAGTATGTCTGTTGATTCTACAGCTACTTGTGTCAGATAGGCCTACTTTCAGGGTCATATGAGAAACATACTAAAATAAACTTATGACAAAGAATCACTGGCACAGAATATATGCCCCAAAACCAAAAAAGGCAGAGTAAAGAGAGTTTGATAATTTTGGGGTTTGGAATGTGACTGTTCAAACTATTGTAATTGTTTGGGTGGTAATGTGGGGATTTTGGTGATTTCTGTTGTTTCTGGCACAGTAGGACTTAATTACTGAGTGTACAGTTGATTGCTGTGGTGATCTAAGGTTGTCTCTCATTGATGAGTTTTTATAGGTTTGAGTTGTATCCTTCATCCAGCTAGATTATCTGGTGCTTGTTATGTCAGCATATATCTTCAGGACATCTGCTGTAAACTAGATGAGAAGCTGCACTTGAAATGCCTACAAAACTCTCATGCTGCTGAAAAGCCAGATGTTCATGTACTCTATGAGACTGTAGCTAGTGATAAAGCAGCACTTTAATAGTGCTGTTACATAGTTACACAATCTTGTTCCAGTACTGATCTTGTTCCAAGGGTGGGATTATTTTTAATTAAATGAGCAGAGCTACCTTTGGGTTTTTAACTGGAAAAAGTAGCATACATGGTTTTTCTTACTAGTTTTGCAGGAAGCTATCAGATTTACTCAACACTGTCACAAGTAGGTACATGTTTCAAAATGGTAAAATAATGTTGATTTGTGGGTGGAGAAGTAAAGAGCCATTTTTAAGACCAGTTTTAGAAAAATTTTACGTCTAGCCAGTGAACCGTATTAAGGATTTTTTGGTCTCTGAGCAAGCTTAGGGTCAAGTTCTGAGTCAAGCTTGCCATTAACTGACCTGGTCGCATTTGTTTTTCTTGTTCTAATTATTTCTGGGCAAGCCATTAAAAGACTTTTCAGATTTGTTGGAATTTGTTGGAATGTTTTTCACAGCATTAACATGAAGGATTATGAAAGCATTGTTAAGAACTCGTCTTGATTAAAAACGTCTAATGGTATGTTTTCAAGATTCATCAAAATAATTCAGTGCATATTGAGAGCCTACTGTACTAGGAATGAATTGCTTAGAACTGCACTATACACTGCAGAAAAACAGAAATACACCTTAGATCTCCAAATACTTGCCAAAATGAAAGAGTTTGAGCTTTTGGGTTATGGGTTCCAACATTTTTTCTGTTTTATTACCCCATGTAACAGTGAAGGAACTTTGGTTGTTACATCTGAAGATATGAAGGATCTTTCCTAGATTCCTTTATGTTTTCTCAGCACGATATTTGGAGATTTGTTAATGTTTGTTCATCTTCGTGGCAGCATACTAATTTCAGGGATGGAGGTAGAATCTTGGCTGTGTTTGTGTTGTTTGGTTTTGTTTCTTTTCCCCCTCAGAATCACTGTTACATAGTGAGTAAAAAGTAACAAATAGTGGTAATGTTTCATTGAAGGGTGGGTTCTTTAGGTTACTGCTGTGCGTTTAATTTTTTTAATGACTGAGTATTGATCAATTTTCTTTTTGATGGGAAAAAATCTCTGCAGCGTGAGAATGTCACTGACTATAAACATTGCTTAATTACGAAGAATGAGAATGGGGAATATAATCTTAGTGGAACCAAGAGAAGTTTTGGTAATCTTAAGGATCTATTGACCTGCTATCAGACAGAAACTGTCCGCTCAGACAGCATAATTTTCCAGTTCATCAAGTGCTGTCCTCCAAAACCAAAAGGTAAGAAAGGATAGTTTATTTCTAAACAAGAATGTTTTACTTTTAAGTCTTTATAAATTGTAAACAACAAAGTAAATGGCTTTCAGGTAGGTAAGTACACATATTGGCTTATGTGGGTTCTCTTCATTCCACTTACCTGTTTTTACTTTGTTTTGACATGACTATCTAGACAGCACTGATAGCCATCACAGTTTCATTGTTAGAACTGAAACTGTATTTTTAATTACTGTAGGAAACAGTGCCATACAGAAACAGTAGGAGTAGGAGAAGCAGCAAAAGCAGTTTTTGCTAATCCAAAAAAGTGAATTATTTAACAAGACACTCTATAGCTTTTAAAATGGTCTCAGATAGACATTGCCTTTTTTTTTTTTTTTTTTTTTTTTTTTTGTATTTACGGCTTCTAAATATGTGATTTTTATATTTTATAGCTCAACTTTACTTCTCTTTCTTCTCTCAGATAAATCAAACCTCCTTGTCTTCAGAAGCAATAGTGTCTCTGATGTACCTTCATCACCAACTTTGCAGAGGCACAATGTTAGCCAGATGGTCTTTCACAAAATCCGGAATGAGGACTTGATTTTTGTAAGTCTCTTAGTTGCTTCTTTCATTGCAAATGGTTGGTTTAGTAAGTGCTATATAAAAACTCCGTGTGCATTCAAAAGAGCTTTTTTTTCCTTAAAAAAGAAAAAGTGTCCTTTTGACTGCAGTGGTAGTTTGTTTTGTTTTGTTTTCCTCTGTGGTTCTTTCAGCAATTTGCCACCTAAGATCCTTGACAAGTTAGTAACTTCTTTAAAAAATTAGCAAGGATTTAAACTGTTCATGGTATACTTGTTTCAACTCTGGAGGTAGACAAGCTGAAAAGTTTCACATATATACATTGTTTATTGAAGAAGTTGTCTGTCTTTGACAGAACACGTAATTTCTCATTTTCCCTTTCCTGCTTTTTGTCTTTTTAGGAAGAGAGTCTTGGACAGGGCACATTTACAAAGATTTTCAAAGGTATACGGAAAGAAGTAGGAGACTATGGCCAGCTCCATCAAACTGAAGTTCTTTTAAAGGTTCTGGATAAAGTGCATAGAAACTACTCTGAGGTTGGTATGATTGTCAACTGCAGTGTACTTGTCCATCCCATACTACTTTTCTTACAGCAAGTAAGCAACTTGCTGCATTTGTATGATAGAGGGATGATTGTTGAGCAGAGCTCATTCTTTGCCTTGTGAAACAGGGAAAAATGGGTTTGAGACTAGTTCTGTGAACTTCACAGGTATACTTTATTTCCTTTCTGCCCGCTATCTATCACAATTTAGAGCTACCACAGAGAACCAAAAAACAGTGGTTCTTTTGTACTACACAGGTAGCACAGGAGAAACAGTTTGGCCACAAACCTGTACTGGTAAACTCATGGTCTACACATGAGGTATCAACTTTTAGGGAAAAATTTCCTTTTGTTGACTGTTTTCCTGGTGTTTTTGTTTTTTGGTTTTTTTTTTATTATTATTATTATTTGTTTGTTTTGCTTTCCTTTGTTTTTTTTGTTTCGGTTTTTTTTTTTTTTTGAGTCTTACTAGTTCTCTAGTAAAATAAATATTTTGCATAAGGTCATAAAAAATCAGAAATATGAGGAACGTTGCCATATGTGGAATCACCCATATTTGATTAGTCTTCTAGTGTTTGACTGAATCTGTGAGCAGACCTGAACTGCCCTTTTGCAGAAAGCAATATAATGGTAATATAAATAAGCTCAAGAATACAAATGTGAAAATTCAATTTTAAAAAATTAACAAATGTGCTATTTCTTATTATATCAGTGCAACTTTATATGGCTGCTTATTGTGTATTCTGATTATATCATAGTTTCAAATTCCTAATTAACCTAAGAGCGTTTGCAGTAAGTCAGAAGAACCAGTCTCTTATTCAATGAACTTTTCAACCGCTTAGAACATATCTAAATTAAAATGTTAACTAAAGAAAAGGAGTAAAAAAATTCAAGAGCTAGTGTCAAAAGCAAGGTAGACATAACCTTTGAACATATGAAAGTAAAAATGATAGTAAAAATAACATGTATTTTAATTTTAAGAAATTGGATAATATGCTATCATTTTAGAATAGGGTGAAAATAAATTTTTTAAGGAGCTCTAAGAATAAAGAAATATGAAAATGACCCTTGAAGGAAAATATGCTAATTTTAACCTCATCTCATTGGGAAACAATCTGTACGCAAGGAAGCATAGCTAAAAAAAATATATATATGATTAAAGAGATGAAAGCATTTGAAAATTTCCTAACAAGGTCAGATAAGGTCTCACAACACTGGATGAGGGGTATAGATGAGGGATATAGTAGTTCTTGTCTTAAGTTAAAACTTTATAATCTTCTATGAAGAAATAAATGCAAACTGGATAGCACATTGTGAATTTGCTCATTGTTTACTTAACTGATATAGAAAAAAAAGATTCTCTTTAAGATGAGGAGATGCATCTGCCTGCAGAAAAAGAGACTGCTAACTCTTCTAGATTGTGGATTGTTTTTTAAAACAAACAAATAAAACCCACAATAACAGCAAATCAATTTTTTTTTAAAAAAAAGCACAAACCAAAACAAAAAACATCCACAAATAAATAATGTGAAATTTTAGACAGTCTTTGAAGTGAGATGGGAGATGAATCGTTTTTTAAAAAAATTATTCAAACCATATGCATCTTTTTCTACAAATAATGTGTCACAGTTTTTCTTTCACTGATTGGTTCTCTCTTGCTCTCTTTTTCTCAAAGTCCTTCTTTGAGGCAGCAAGTATGATGAGCCAGCTTTCTTACAAACATTTGGTATTAAATTATGGAGTCTGTGTGTGTGGAGAGGAGAGTAAGTATCTTTTTCACTAATTATATACAGCTGCCATTAGAGTTTCTTTTAAAAGGGGGGAGAGTGGGAACTCATTCCCCACAGAAACTTCAAATATTAATGAAACATTAATAATAGCAAAATCTTTACCCTAGCTATAGAAATGGAGTATGTCCTCAGTTTAGCTTACTAAACTTACTTGCACTGTAGTTATTTATTAATAAGTTTTTGAGAACACCTGATATATAATTCTAGAACCTCATAATGAAATCTTAATTTTGGATGGCAGTCCAGTTCTTATGTGTTGTCTTCAAATATGCATTACTGGACCTCAATTTACCAGTTTTCATTTTAATTCAGTCCTTGGCAGAAAAGTCAGTTTGGACTAAAACCATTTTTTTCTTCTATTCAAGTGCTTGTAGCAAAATGAGGCATTTTTGTAGTAAATGTGTAGATAATGTGCAGATAATGTGTAGATAATAATAATGTGTAGACTGCTGCCTCCATTAAGAGAAATGGAATTTGCAAAGCAAGGAAGATGAGGGCATTTTGTATTGAAAGTGGCTTTTCTTACGAGGTTGGAAGGCAGTACATTTTTTGTCTGAGAACTCATAATACTGGTTTCAATTTTAAATACTTCCACAATTGCCTTTCCTAGTTCATTTATATTATCATGCATAGAGACTATGTATAAAATTCCAGATAGATAGTGTATCACTTTAAAACATGGAAATAATCTAAGCGTGGATATTATTTCTCCGTTATATCACAGTCAGCCTCTGTAATCTTTTTTCCTGAAGGCGAGGCTTATGAGGCTTAGAACATATTACTAAGTGGCAGTTAGCAAGAAATGGGAAGAGAAGGTCTTACTTTTTCCATTAGACGTTTGATGTACAGACTTCAGAACAATTGTTTCACATAACTGTTATTTTAAAAAAAGTTTTCTGTCTAAAATAATGTCATAAAAATTGGTTTACTTTCATTGGACAAATATAAAACGTGTAGTTTCCAGAGCGTTCAGAGTGTAAAAAGCTCTACAATGTGAGCATCCTCTCTATACCTTCTGGAGGAAGGGGAGAGGAGAAGGGAGGCTCTGGGCTCTTCTCTCTGGGAGTTGGTGTCAGAGCAGACAAGAATGGATTAAAGCTGCCAAGACAAGGTTCTCATTGGACATCAAGTAAAATTTATTTACAGTGAAGGTGCCCAAACACTGGAACACACTTCCTAAAAGGAAGGCTTTTGTATGGTGCCCTCAGGAATATGCTTTAACTTTTGGATGGCCCTGACATGATCAGGCAGTAAAATACAAAAATCTCTGTATGGCCCTTCAACTGCACTATTACAATCCATCTTGCAGCTGAAGACAGGATTTCAGTACTGCAATTTAATTTTTTTTTATTGAAACAGATTGTGCAGTACTGTGAAGTGGATCTTGTTTCATGTTGTTCTCTGTACGACCATGTGGAGACATATGTCATACATATATGCAAATGTTTATATTGTAAATTTTTATTGATCTGTTTTCAAGAAATCTCTTTTTTTTTCATGAAGTGTCTTATTTTTCCAGTAAAATTGGAGATTATAAGCACCTAAGAAGTGAATGACTTGAAATGGACGTTGTTTGACTTACTGCATTCATGTTGCTACGTATGGTGCTATGTTTATCAGGAGCTATGTTACTTATTGTGCCTTTGGAGTGAGGGTGGAAGGATAATCACTGCATTTCTTAAGGTGGAAAAGTAAATTGCATGAAGTATTTGTGACAATATTAAGATGTTAGTTTGTAAGTTAGTAAGTTAGTTTGTCAATGAATAGTGAAGAAGGAGATGGGTAATATTATGGTAATGTCTGCCTTGAATTTCCATTTGTTTTTTGTTGGTTTTAATTATTACACTTTTAACATTTTAAATCAGATATCCTTGTACAAGAATATGTGAAATTTGGATCTTTGGACACATATTTGAAAAAGAACAAAAACGTTATTAATATCTTGTGGAAACTGGAAGTTGCCAAGCAGTTGGCATTAGCCATGCATTTCCTGGTAGGTAGTTTATTTTTTATTTTTTATTTTTTGTTAGTGGTTGAGTTAAAGTGTTTCAGGTTAATGCATGTAGAGTGATGAGCTATTATCCTACCTCTCGAAACTAAGTGTAGAGTGTGAAAATAAGATGTTGACTGAGTGCTGAAGTCAAACCTTTATATCTTACATAGAATGTAATAGATTTTTTTGTTCTTTTGAAATATTCCTTTTGATAGAGTTTAACGCTTCTTGTGTTCATTTTAAATGCATTGTGTTGATGAACCCATTCATTTAAGTTAACATACTTCTGACTACAGATAAAGTCAAAAACATGTTGATGATTAAAATGAATGAAAATTTCCATAGAAAAACTTAACTAAAAGGAACTGATGAAAAGTCTGAGATTTGGTCGAACTTATGTCTGATCTTTATTTTCTTTTTTCCCTTTATGCTGTTAAGTGATTTTTGTTTATTTGTTTGTTTTTAAATACCTTTTCAATCATAAGGTATTTTTGTCTGTCTGTAAAAGATGCCTTTTTGTTTATCAGGAGGATAAAGGCCTTGTTCATGGGAATGTCTGTGCAAAGAACATCTTGCTTATCAGAGAAGAGGACAGGAAGTCTGGAAACCTTCCTTTTATAAAACTAAGTGATCCTGGCATCAGTATCACAGTTTTGCCGAGAGACAGTAAGTCTTTGTGTCAGCTTTCTTTTTTAATGCTTCTGACTTGAAAATCAAGATTATTCTTTTTCTTGCTACCATCTTATTACTTTTGTTTCAGTAAACCACTTCATTCTTTTGTCAGTTTAGAATAATCCCCGCAGTCCTACTTAGCAGTTTTGAGTGCATCCTCTTTCTCGTCAAACAGACACAGGAAAAGAAAGTCACAGTTATCCACTGTATGAATATTTTGTGTTGTTTCCATTCTAAACAAATGCTTTTCACTGATAGTACTATTAGTATACTATAAAGTACTGTAAAACTGCAGATAGCTGCTGGGCTTAGTATCCTGTTATCAATCAGGACTGAATTGCTTCATTCTGTCAAAGTTTTCTGAACTCAAAGTTAATGCATTTATTAAAATGCTGCCTGGCAGTTGAAAATTATCTTTGGTAAGTATTTTGATGAATGGCTAAAGTCACGGAGGTTGCTGAAAGTACTATGTTATTAGCTTTGCAAAAAAAACTATTTTACTGCATTATGAACAAAATTATCTCGTACTGAAAGAGGCATAAAATGTGTGCAAGGTCCTTATGCTAATGAAACAGAAGTAATCTTCTTATCCATTTCTGAGTCTTCATAATTTTTTTTTTTGAAAAATGAACACATCTTAGACTTGCTAATTTTATGCAGAAAATATAACACATCTAAGAGACTGTGGGCAGCATAGAGCTTATAGTCTTTCTTAGGCAATAATCTTTCACTCTTTTAATATACAAAGCCTTCACTAACCTTAAAAATATCATATTCTAAGATCTATATCCGCATCAGAAAACAAATTGACTTTCAACATGTTACTAGACTCTCTAATAAAAGCTCTGAAATCATAAAGTGGGAAATCACTCACCGTGGTTATTTTATACTGCTGTGCCATAATGTATCGACAAACAGTAAAGTACTTTTGGCTGTTTGCTATCTAGCTCTTTCACAACAGCTATTAAATCTTGATAATTTGGGGGAAAATATTAAAGCCAGAACAAAAATATAGTGTGAAAATGAGGTTTGAAAGGTATTTATTTAAACATTAGTCTAATTCAATAGTAAAACTAATGATCTTCTGAACATGTGTTTTCCTAAGTATTCGTAAGTATTAGTTTTGTAGTACTTAATTCTTAATTATTCATTAGTATTATTGATTCAAAAGTATTACTTCTGTGGTTAATCTGTAGTTTCAAGAAAAGAACAAAAACTTGGAAAGATATTGAAAACATGTTACAAAATGAAATACCTACATATTCTAAAACCATTTTTACTGAATCAAATGTGTTTTAGAATTTTGTGGTTTTATTACTGATCTTAACATGATGTTTTCTTTGCATGATTAACAGTTCTTCTTGAGAGAATACCATGGGTTCCACCTGAATGTATTGAGAACCCCAAACAACTAAGCCTAGCTACAGATAAGTGGAGTTTTGGTACCACTTTATGGGAAATCTGCAGTGGAGGAGATAAACCACTGAGCGCTCTCGATTCTTCAAGAGTAAGTGTCACTGTATCTGCAGTAGTGGCAGTTCTTTGGATACCTTAGAACGTCTGCTTTTGTAACCAATCAGCATGCAAAATGGTGTGGCCCATAACCACTGTAAGAAACATCACGTTGTCTGGTAGACGGTGATCATCGTAAGTGATGATTTAAGGATTATTTTTACATTGTTAATTTTTTATTTTTATGGGGACAAAGTTCAGTTTTGCCAGAATTATCTTGCCCACACTTCTTTTCCTTTGTTATAACCTTATCTCACTTAAAAAAAAAAAAAAAAAAAGCTTTCCTAACAATGTACGTGACCTTTGGTTGGCATAATTCTAGTTATGCTGTAAATGAATACCTAAATACCTAAAAGCTGTAAGATGGTGTGTGTTGCTGACAATTCTATTTTATTTAAAACAGAAATATTAACATTGCCTCAGGGGCTCAAGGGATGGGGTTGTTGAGCAGAAATATATTCCATAAGAATATTATTTCTTACATCTTTAATTTCTATTTGGAAGTGAACAGAAGTTACCATTTTCTGTAATGACTTGTAGGATTATTATTATAAATTGGCTGTTTTTCTAACAAAGCCTCATCCAATTTCTCAGGTGCTGTAATCAGCTCTTAGAAAAAATTTCAAGATCTTCTTTAGACCTAGCTTCTAGACATCTGTGTTTTTTCAAAAGATGCCCTCATCTCTTCTACTAAATCACATTCTTTTCTAGTGCCAGTGAAGATTTTTTACATCTAGTGAAGCTCACTCAGCTCACTAATGGATTTAACCCAATGGATAAAATTTTCTGCTAGAATGAGATTACATACAAAGGAGATACCTTCTTCTGTTTTCTTATTTTCCACCTGTAACTGCTTTGGAGCTTTTCAACTCATTTCTCTAGATTATGGTAGTTCTTCTAAACAGCTGGTCAGTTAGTCAGATGTGAATGTTGGTGAGGTGATAAACCTAGGTTGAGAGCTGTATTTTTTCACTGCTCAAGTCAGAATATCATGGCTATTAGAACTCTTCCTGGTTATATGGTAAAAAGGCTTTTCTCCCTTCTGTTCCAGAAACTACAGTTTTATGAAGATCGACACCAGCTTCCTGCCCCCAATTGGACAGAGCTAGCAAATCTGATAAACAACTGTATGGATTATGAGCCAGATTTCAGGCCATCATTTAGGGCAATTATACGTGACTTGAATAGTTTGTTCACTCCTGGTGAGTCTGAGTCTGTGGTACAAAAGGATAGCATTAGATAGAAAAAATCCTAGTTTCTGCAGGTTACATTTCTTATGGTGGCTCCCATTTCAGTATTTTGGCCTACAACCACTCTTCAACTCCGTAGAATATTCCATTACTGCTGCTTAGTTTATTGTAAAAAAGAATATATTAAAAGTTAGTGTGAAATAAAAATAATGCTTTGAGTGATGATTAATGTCTATCTTAACTGTTCTAGTCTCCTAGCCAAATGTATTTGCAAAGGTGTTTTTTATCTCTGAAAAGTAAGAGATATTTTACTAAGTGGAACATGCACGTTATCACAAGCCCAGGTTTTTATTTCTTCCCTCAATAATAATGGAGTCACTGTGCAATAGCTGCTGAATTTAAGTTCAGTAGATCTTTAAAAAAAAAATAAATTAATTAATTTGAAATTACAGCAAGACTTGTTATGAGTCAAGCTACTTGACTGTTTGGTAATATCTCATTGTCTTCATGACTGCAAATTACTGAGTAGAAATAAAGGAGATTGTTAATATTCTACTAAGCTCAGAGTTTGCCTAGGGTTAGGGTTAGGTAAAAGATGTACTGTAGTAAGCTTGTTTCATTCTCCTGTTTGCTTCTCTTTTCTTTCTTCATCCTTTTTCTCTTCCTTCTACACCTCAGATTATGAGTTATTGACAGAAAATGATATGTTGCCGAATATGCGAACTGGAGCTCTTGGATTTTCTGGGGCCTTCGAAGATCGGGACCCAACACAATTTGAAGAAAGGCATCTTAAGTTTTTACAGCAACTTGGCAAGGTAGTATATTTGGAAATTTTCTAATTGCCTAAGAAATAGCTACTTTTTTCAATTATCTTCTAATGACCCTATATACATTAGTATATACATTGGATGCTTCCATTACAGAAATAAATAAAGAAATATCTGAGCACAGTGGAAAAAAAGATTTGAAAGGAACTTGTTTGATGGTTTTAGACAGAAGAAAGGTAGCTGTTTTCTACATTGAATCCAGTCACCAGGAGCGGCTTAATATTTCCAGTGCAGAGCTGCGTCTGACGCTTCATTTTTTGCCACTTTTTATACTTGGGATTCATTTACAATTGTTCCAGAGCAATCTTGTATAGAAACCAGGAGGCTGTTGTTTTTTCTTTTTGGGAACTCTGAATACAAGGGCCTGAAGCTCAGTAATGTCTTTGAGATACCTGTGGGCCTCAAACTTTTTAAGCTTTAGAAATCAGTATTTGGTTACAGTGTTTTGCAAGTCATTGCAGCTTGGCTGTGGAAAACATGTGCAGACAGATGACTTCAATGAAGTTCTGTCAGTTGGACTAAGTACGCTTATTCCAGCATGGTTTCTCACTTTTTTATATTGGTTACTGATGTGTAGCTACATGTCCACTTGTCTCTGTAAGTGACAAAACCTGAAAGCAAACTGGCAGAAGTACTTCTATTTGTAGGTGATTGTTGGCTATAAACAGTAGTGTAGAGTAGGGAAAGGAATGGATTTGCTGGTGATGACTGCAAAAAGGAAGATAAAAAGAGTAGAGAAGAAGAAGGTAGAGCAGAGAATGGAAGAAAAAATACTGAAAAACAAAGGAGAACCATGAACCAGAAGGAGCCTTAATGTGTAGTTCTTTAGAAATGCAGGAAAAGAGGTATCCCAGTGGGCATTATGAGAGTTAAGCAGAAGTCTGTGAAAAAAAGGGGAGAAAATGAATGGATATCACTCCTTGCCCTCCTTTTTTTCCAGTGCTGTTCACATCCTTTCATAGAGCATGTTTCTTACAGACAGTTGCTGCAGAAATGTCACTGTGATAGAATCATAGAATCAGGTTGGAAAAGACCTTAAAGATCATCGAGTCCAATCACAACCTAACCAAACTACCCTAAATCTAACAACCCTCCACTAAATTAAACACAGTCAGGGATGGTGACTCAACCACCTACCTGGGGAGCCTATTCCAGTGCTTAACAACTCTTTCTGTAGTGAAGTGTTTCATGTTATCCAACCTAAACTCACCCTGGTGCAACTTAAGGCCATTTCCCTTTGTCCTGTCACCTTAAGAAGAGACCAACCCTGATCCCACTGTAAGCACCTTTAAGATATTGGAAGAGGGCAATAAGGTCTCCCCTCAGCCCCTTCTTTTCCCCAGACTAAACAACCCCAGTTCCTTCAGTCTCCTCCTCGATAGGGCATATTCTCCAAGCCCTTCACAAGCCTTGTTGCCTTTCATTGGATCTGATCCAGCATCTCACAGTCCTTTCTGTTCTGGGTACCCAAAACTGAACACAGTACTCAAGGTGTGGCTTCAACAATGTTGAGTATAGGGGCAGGATTACTTCCTTAGTCCTGCTCACCACACCATTCCTGATACAAGCCAGGATGCCATTGGCCTTCTTGGCCACCTGGGCATGCTGTTGGCTCATATTCAGCTGACTGTCCAACAGAACACCAAAGTCCCTTTCCATCAGGCAGTTTTCCAGCCACTCTTCCTCGAGCCTGTAGGGTTGCCTGGGATTGCTGTGACCAAAACGCAGGACCCAACACTTGGTCCTATTGAAACTCAGTTTACCTTGGCCCATTGATCCAGTCTATTCAGGTCCCTCTGTAGTGCCTTTCTCCCCTCAGGCAGATCAGCACACCCTTCCAACTTGATGTCGTCTGCAAATTTACTGAGGGTGCTCTCCATACTCTCAACAAGATCATTAACATAGATGTTAAATAAAAGCAGTCCCAGTACTGAGCCCTGGGAGACACCACTCGTGACCAGCCACCAGCTGGATTTAACTCCACTGACCACAGCTCTTTGGGCCTGGCCATCCAGCCAGTGTTTCACCCAGCAGAGCATACACCCATGCAAACCATGGGCAGCCAGCTTCTCCATGAGAATGTTGTTGGGGACAGTGTAAAAGGCTTTACCGAAGTCCAGATAGACCACATCAACAGCCTTACCTCCATTCTCTAAGCGGGTCACCTTGTCATAGAAATAAATCAGGTTTGTCAGTCAGGATCTACCATTCGTAAACCCATGCTGACTGGGCCTGATCCCCTGGCTGACCTTTAATTGGTGGCACCCAAAATTATCCATTCCATAAGCTTCCGAGCACCGAGGTAAGACTGATAGGTCTGTAACTACCAGGATCATCTTTCTGGCCCCTTTTGAAAATGGGCATCACATTTGCCAGTCTCCAATCCACTGGGACATCCTTGGTTAGCCAGGACTGCCAAAGAATTGATGGAGAGTGATCCTTTACTCTTAACTTCTTTCATGGTGGTTTTGTGATATTTCACTTAAATAATTATTACATAAATAATAACATAGTAAATATTACATAAAGCTTGTTATATCACTTCAATGTTATACTACAGTGTGCACTGAGGTATTTATAGACAAGCACTGGGAAAGAGAATAACGTGGACTCATTTTTTAATTCAAGTATTTCTGTTTATATCTAGGGAAACTTTGGCAGTGTTGAGATGTGCCGGTATGATCCCCTACAGGATAATACTGGGGAGGTGGTGGCTGTGAAAAAGCTGCAACATAGTACAGAGGAGCACCTTAGGGACTTTGAAAGAGAAATTGAAATACTTAAATCTCTGCAGCATGATAACATTGTTAAATACAAAGGAGTTTGCTACAGTGCAGGTATGTGCTATGTTGAATACACCTTAAGTTGCATAACTAAGCATGTAGACTGCAAGAAATTCAGGCAGATGTTTACAAAAGCCTTTTTCAAGGGAAGAAAAGTCTGTTATGTACAGCTTTTCATTGTAAGATGGATTTTCTTTATTCAGTCAGCTCATGGCATAATTTATATGATTTTTAAAGAACAGGCTGTTTTGACTGGTTACCCAGTTGCTTTATCTTAAAGCGATGAATCTGGAGTTAAGTAAGAAAATGAAACCATTTTTTTAACTTTTTTTAACTGTTCTTATTTTTCCTTTAATGTGATGTCTGAGAGTGGATAATACCACTTTTTGTACAACTGTATAATAAATGACTAAGAAGGAGAAAGTTTCAGAAACATATGTATTTGAATGAATTGTTGATGATGTTGAAATTGAGTGAAAGCACAAGTTTTGTGCAAGATCTGATTGTTTAAAAAAAAAAAAGTGTTCAAAATTGGACTAAGTTTTGAAGATTGCTAAATTGCTAACTAGTTGACGTCAGTTGTCGTTCTGAGTTTTACCTCAGCAAAAAGAAGGAATTATGTAAACACTGGTATACATGGGTGGCACTTGTGCTTTACCTTTGGCAATAGTAGTTTTTATGAGATGTTGAATATTAAGCATATACACATTGTGGTTATGTTTAAATAAATGGCATTTCCATATCAGATACAAATAACAGACGAAAAATTGCACACTACTGAGCATACAATAGAATGCATTTTTGTTAGTGAGACTTTTCTATTACTTCTGTTCACTTGTAAATACATGTTTCAAAACTTTGCATTGAAAAGTGACAAAAAGTATTTTATTTGTTGTTGTAAAAGGTCGTAGGAATCTGAGATTAATTATGGAATATCTACCATATGGAAGTTTACGGGATTATCTGCAGAAACACAAAGAGAGATTGGACCACAAAAAGCTTTTGCTATATGCATCTCAGATATGCAAGGTAAGAGAGTTTTCAGTTGGCTTGACAATTTGACAAATTTGACAAATTTGCATCTACTCATTTCATTCAGAAATCAGTTGTTTTGTTATATATATTTTTAATAGTGTTAGGCAGCTAGAAAAACTTAACGTTGAAAATGATAGTAAGGTGTACTTATATTCAAGAACTTGAAAAAATTCTGAGTATCTTTGTAATCCTTAATGCAACATGTTGACATTGATCTGTGTGCTGATTGAGGGAGAATTATATTTTGAGAGTCATTTATGTTTATGAGGTATAAAGGCTTATTCAGAAGAATTAAAATATCTTTTTTTTCTAATGAAAGCTGGATTAAAATTGTGAAGGATTTAGTGTACTCATTGAGGCAAGCTATTCATGGGATACCATAACTGATATTTTTATATATAAAAGTCACTTAGTGACTTTAGTGACTTTATATAAAAGTCACTTAATGACTTTTAGAGATGAATATCTATAACAGTGTTCATATATTTAACAATATTAGTAATATCGTCATTTTGTAAGTAATATTATTTTTGAGTTTTAATTTATTATATTAAGTAAGTAATATTAGCATTTTGATCTAGTGGAGGGAAGGTACCTGATTCCTATGTGAAGAGCTAGGGGCTATTAAAGTGCCCGAAGCTGTAATAATTCAGTCTCACTGGCTGACATTGAAAATACTTCATAAATTCTGAAAATGGAAACACGTATCTAATCTTCCTATTAACTTATTTCTTATTACCTCAGAAGAAAAAAGTATGCGTGCCTTAGATTTATGCTACTGTTGTGTTTAAGATATGAGAAACTATGGATGCTTCAGATTTCACTGCAGGCTTATTAGTTTAATTTAAAAAAAAAAAAAAAAAAGAAAAAAAAAAGACAAATGGATGTGCACATACTGCCTTCTTATTCTAAGACAGGTAACAAATATTTTAAATTTCCTCTCCATTATTTCAATTTCAAACAAGGAAATGGTAAATTACTTAACGAGTATTCTTAGGGTGTATAGCCATTACATATTGTATTATCTAGTAGACTTGTGCCTTCCACTTTCAGGGCATTTTGTGTGTACATGTACGCACAAATACATGAGAAACATTGAAATACTGCAGTATGCAGACTGCCGATGTAAAATCAAAACAACAGATCAAATGACTTATTTCTAAGTACCAGCTAGGAGGAAGGAAGCTAGAATTTGCGTTTTGCGGATAATTAAGAGGGAAAACTTGTGCTTTCATGTAATGAACATGGGCAAACACTATCAGAATGTGGGAAGTCAACATAGAATGTAGAATTACTTTAGTTGGAAGGGACCTTAAAGATTATCTTGTTCCAACCGCTCTGCAGGGTTGCCAACCACTGAATCAAGCAACTAGATCAGGCTGCCCAGGACTCCATCCATCCTGGCCTTGGAACATTTCCAGGGTTGGGACATCCAGAGCTTTTCTGGACATAGTGCCAACACTTCACTACCCTCTCAGTGAAAATTTCCCTGGCACTTAGTTTAAATCCTCTTTTAGTTCAAAACTGTTCTCCTGTGTCCTGCCACTATTTACTTGAAAAGATTATTTTCCTCCTGCTTAGAAGCTACATATAAGTACTAGAAAGCCAAGTGTAGAACATACAGATAATTATCTCTTGTTGACTTCTAAGGGAAGCAAAGCCTAAGTATTAGTGTGTGTATTTTGCTTTGCCTTAATGTTACTGTGCTACCTGTAAAGCAGAGGTTATTTTGATTGCACTAAGTACTTCTGTTGTATTATTCTGCTTCAGAACAGCTTGATGTTTTTCCTCATGGGAGCTAATGCTTCAAAAAAAATCACTCTGGATAAAAATAAAATAAAATAAATCTCAAAGGATTAGTGAGTCTGTGCTTAGTTTGGAATCCTGTTTTAAGATAAATGTTTTCAAAGCAGACTGCTTAAATCTGGCAAAAGCACTCAGTTATGATATATTACTATGTATTAAAAATGAGTACATAGTATTACTAAAATGAGATCGAAATACTTTTAGCTTATCACCTCTTCTCCTTTCCTTTTCTATTTCTCTCCTGTTTTGTTCCAGCGTGTTTTGTTCTTTCAGCATCTGAAGTCTCTTCTGCCTCGTGTGCATTTCTGTTACTTTTTTTGTTCGTTTGTTTGTTTTGCTTGTTAGTTTTTTAGCTGAAATTCTTTTCAGCTTCAGCCTTCTTATTTCAAGTACGTGTGAGAGAAGTGAAGACATTACCATACTAAAAGGTTAAGATAAGTGTGCTTGCTTGCAGTGTATTTGGTTCCTTATTGAGAACTGGGATAAATGTCCTGACTTGTTGTCACGGAGTTAACTAGATCTATTTATGCCCATGACCGGGGGGCAAGTAAGCCCCTTCCCTCCTCCCCCCCCCCCTCCTTCCCCTCCCCTCCCCCCCCCCCTCTCCCCCGGCTCCACAAAATGGGAAGGAAGAACGGGGAAAAAAAAAACAGTGGCAACAATCTATGGAGAAAAACTGATTTTACTAACTATGATATTGGAATGCAAGATAACACAATCTAATACAACCTAATTGAAACTGAGAGTAATAAATCAAATAAGATAGGAGAGAGAGAGAGAGTTCCTGAGACTGAGTCAAACCTGAAAAGCTTGGAGCAGCTAGGAAAGCACCATCCAGCATCCACTGCCAGGCAGCAAGAGAGCGCCCCACCCGGAAGGGCCAGATCCCGTGACTGCTGTAATGTACAGGGATAGGTACCTGGAATTGGGGCAGTGACACTTTAATGCCCAGTGCACTACATGATGTTTTGATGTGGAATACTTAAAGCCAAAAAAAAAAACAAACAAACCAGAAAACCATGACACCTGTGTTTCTCATACTGTGAAAAGCAGTTTTCAGAGATGGCATTTGCTAATTGTGTTTCTGTAGAAGCAAATCATTGCAGCTATAATGTGATGTAGCTCATGTCACTAGTTCTGCTTTTTCTGGTGGCAAGCAATAGAATTCTGTATTCGAATTTAAAATTTAAAATTTCCCAATGCTTTTCTGATTTTGAGGCTTTTCTGTTTTTCCTCTTTTGACACTACGTTTTCTTCATTCTTGCTGATAAGAGGGTGGGAATAATTTTGTTTTTCCACCTCATAGTGCTTAAAGTATTTCATTCATCCTTGCTGAAAGGCCCCATAACTACCATTTGAATAGCAAAGGTGAAAAAATTTGAACAGTGTCATTGAACTTGACCTCACTGTTAGTGTAATGTCAGAGGATTATGATTTCCACTCAAAATTTGCATGATTTCAAGTAAATATGTCTCAGAGGCTGGAAAATGGCTATTATAACAGGAAAGTCACTAGTATCAGAGAAACTTAAGGACTACTTTCAGTATGGTATTTAATATTACTATTTTTCAGGATAGCAAAAGATAACAGGTAATGGTGAAGATGTCAGTTTTAAACAGATTTGAGTGGATGTTCTGAATATACAGTGTTGCCACCTAATGGTACAAGGAGGTAGCATGAGACTGAGAAGAAGTAGACTTCCAAGTTACACTTTTTCAGAGGTTTCTCACTTAAAAAGCGAAAAGACTAATCTTTTTACATTAAAAATATAATGCTGATGCCCCAAATGTCTGAATTTATTCTAGAACATCATTTATTCTAGAACATCATTTATTCCTTTTTCTGTTGTGTTCCCATGTTTCTTTATGAAACTGTGAAACTGACAGCCTGCTTTGTGTTTTCTTCCATGTATGAAAATCAAGAATCTTTTAGTACAGCATTGTCAGTTTCTGTTCACCATCTATTGCTGTGTAGGCAAGAATTTTTTTTAAATATTTGCTGTAATACCTTAGCTTGATTGTCTCTTCACGCACTGGCTTCTGTGTTCAATTAATTGCAAAAACAGAATGTATTGGTAAGAAGGGATCAGCAACAGCAGCTAAATATGATAACTTCAGATTATCGTTTCCATGGGTAGCCATTACACAAGATACAGGAAAAAGAGAGCTGTGATAGAGGATAATGGTCAATAAGGAGAAAGAAGGAGAAAGAAGATTTACAAATATGAATACAGCCAGAGAATAGCTGTCACATTCAAGGACTTGTAAGATAAAGTTTAATAATGAAATTAGGAAAGCAGATGTGAAAAATAGAAAGAAGGTTAATTCAAACAGCTAATGAAAGGACAGGTTTCTTATCTGCCCTGCATCATGTAGCTTAGCCCAGACTTTGTTTATTTTTGCTTAGAACTGGCAAACTGCACTTGGGTATGGAAAAGAGCTGTAACAGCCATCTAGCTACGTAATTGTAAAACACTTGGCTGAGAAAGGTTCTCTATATAGTTGCCTTCAGTTAAGTAGAGTCTCTTGCATTTGGAAACATTAACTTAATAGAGAAAGCAAATATTCAAGTACTCTGATTTTGATACATTCTCTTTGATTTTAACTTTGAGCTTGTTTCATCCCTTTAAAGATAGCGCAGCCACTTAAAAATAATTTTCTTTTCTGTTGTGTTTGTGAACACGCTTAGGGCATGGAGTATCTGGGCACAAAAAGATATGTTCACCGGGATTTAGCAACAAGAAATATCTTAGTGGAGAATGAGAACAGAGTTAAAATTGGAGATTTCGGATTGACTAAAGTCTTGCCACAAGACAAGGAGTACTACAAAGTGAAAGAACCTGGTGAAAGCCCTATATTTTGGTAAGTCTTTTCTCAATGTATGAAATCGTGATATGTTTTCAGCTTTGTGGTTTCAGACAACTGTTTCACATATTGTGGAATTGTGGTGTAAAATTTCCAAGTCTGTTTTTAAAGCATTGTGAAAGTCACATGCATGATCCTTGCTTTTACAGAACAACATTGAGAATTCCTAACTTTATGCATATTTCCCCTCCCCTCCAAAAAAAACCAACCAACCAACCAACCAAACAAACAAACAAAAAAAAAACAACAAAAAAACACCCTGAAAAAATCGTACTTAACAAGTTAAATAATGTCACAGGGAATGTATTCCAAGATTAAAGAAATCTAGAACGCTTACTAAGGAGTGGGTTCCTGTAAGTTTTGGACCCTTAAACAAAAATATGTATCTTCTAGATGAGATCTGTTGGGTGAACCATCTGTTGGCCAAGTGGAATTAAATCATACAGATGAGTTAGCAAGGATAAAGTATTAGGTTGACTGTTAAGGTAAATGAACCACTGGGACACATCCTGGAGGAATGGGCTGCTCTAGCTCAGGTCCCCACAAGTGGCTGCTGCCCCACCCCTCCGGCCCTACCACAGGCTCCTTGGGCTGCAGCAATGGCCTGGGGCTGCTTCTTCAGGGGCTTTTCATGGGCTTCAGCTTTCTTTAGTCGCATCCACTGCTACACCTTTGGCTCTTCTGTTGCTGCATGTGGATTTCTACTCTGCATGGTGTTCATGGGCTACAGGGGGACAGCCTACTGTACCATGAGCTAATCCTGAGCTGCCTGGAACTTCTGCTCTGCGCCTGGAGCACCTGCCATCTTTCTGCACTTTGGGTTCTGCAGGGCTGCTTCTCTCACACTTTTTTCATTCCCCTCACCCAGCTGCTGTTGTACAGCAGTTTTTCCAGTTAATCTCACAGAGGCACATTCAGTGTTGCTCATAGCTCAGCTCTAGCAGTGACAGGTTCTTGATGGAGCAGCTGGAGTTGGCTCTGATCTGCCATGGGACAGCTCCTGGGCTCTGCTCACAGGGGCCCCCCTGCAGTCTCTTGCTACCAAAAACTTGTCAGATAAATCTAATACAGCTGCATTTGGACTATGTACTTTTGTGTATTCAAAATGCCACTTCATATTTGTGATTTTATTGTCTATAGCTGCCATAGGTGACCTTAAAATATAACAATTAAGGGGTAAGTAAAATAATATAAAATAGCGTTAGCAATAGATGTTATTGATCTGAAAAAATTAAGTCCACAAATGCATGGGACACAATTCAAAGCTTACTGATAGTGGTGGAAAGATATTTATTGGTTATAACTCTTTTTATTCCCAGTCCTTACCATGTCAAAATCTTATTTACCCTCATTAGATGCAGGAAAAATACCAGTTCTCGTACCAGTTAACTACTATTATCAGAATACTTGTTCACTTTTACTAGTGAAGGTAATGCAGAACAATATTATTTTTACCATGTGTTGCAGGTATGCTCCAGAGTCTCTGACAGAGAGCAAATTTTCTGTGGCTTCAGATGTATGGAGTTTTGGTGTGGTCTTGTATGAACTCTTCACTTACATTGAAAAGAGCAAAAGTCCACCAGCTGTGAGTACTTAATTATTTTTTCCCAGAGATTTTTATTTGTTTATTTAAAAAAAAAAAAAAGTGTATGGATTTTTTCTGTGTTTAGATAGGTTGATATTTACTGAGCCTTTTTTGGAGTGTAACTTTGTGTTTGAGACAACGTCCAAATGGAAACAGCAGCATGCTGAGAAGCATTTGCATCTAGGTGTAAAAAGCAAAGGCTATCTGGAAAACAGTCTGTGCAGACTTAATCTGCTCTGTAACTTCCAGCTGTTTGAAAAAGGTTTGAAAATATCTAATTAGAGACTTATCTTTCTCATTCTTTATAGAGAGATCCCAGATGAAACTGTTCCATTGTAATATTACAAGTATTTTTAATACCACTCCAAATCTAAGGCCCAGACAAGCAAATACTTCAACCTGAAGTAGATTTAAGTGAGGTAACTCTTAAAGTTACTTTGTTATCTTAGCAAAACCCGAGGTAATTATCTGTAGCTCAGAAAGGAAAGAGAGTTTTTCTTTTCTTGCAGACTGTTGACAAGTGTCTTTAAAGGCACTCACTAAATGAAATAAAGTACTACTTGTTTACTGCAGAACAGCTCTGCAGTTGGGGATGAAGTTCATAATGTTACCTTTACTAGAATTGCCCTGCAGGCATTACAGAAGAGAGGTAACTTGAATGTTTACTAGAGCAGTCTTCACTGTTCACCAGTGTCTCAGTCCTGGCAAATGTAGTTCTGAGAGGTAAACAGTGATCGTAGGGAAAATGTATTTGACAGACCTCTACATCAACATCAGTAGAACTTAGTAATTGTATGCAATCACAAAAGATATTAAAGAATCCATTCAGAGCCATTCTGAGGGACCTCAACAGCCTAGAAAGGTGGGCCCAGCTGGACCTGATGAGGTTCAACATGGCAAAAGTGCAGGGTTTTGCACTTGGGCTGGAGGAATCCCAGGCATCCCTTCAGACTGGAAGGAGCAGTCCTTGAGAGCAGCCCTGTGGAGAGGGATCTCGGGGTCTTGATAGATGAAAAACTTAACATGTCCTCGCGGCTTGGAAAGAAAATGGTATCCTGGGTTCCATCATAAGAGGGTTGGCCAGCAGGGACAGGGAGGTGATTGTCCCCCTCTACTCTGCTCTTGTGAGGCCCCATCTGGAGTTCTGTGTCCAGGTCTGGAGCCCCCAGTACAAGGAACACACGGAGCTGTTGCAGAGCATCCAGAGGAGAGCCACAAAGATGATCAGGGGGCTGGAGCACCTCCCCTATGAAGACAGGCTGAGGGAGCTGGACTTGTTCAGGCTGGAGAAAAGAAGGCTGCAGGGTGACCTCATTGCAGCCTTTCAACACCTAAGGAGAGCCTACAAACAAGAGGGGAATCAACTCTTTGAAAGGGTAGATAACAACAGGACAAGGGGAAATGGTTTTAAGTTGAGGGAGGGCAAATTTAGGTTGGATGTTGGGGAAGTTCTTTACAGAGAGAGTAGTGAGGTGCTGGAACAGGCTGCGCAGAGAAGTTGTGGATGCTCCGTCCCTGGAGGTGTTCAAGACCAGATTGGATGGGGACCTGGACAGCCTGGTCTAGTATTGAATGTGGAGTTTGGTGGCCCTGCATGTGGCTGGGGGGTTGGAGATTCATGATCTTTGAGGTCCCTTCCAACCCTGGCCATTCTGTGATTTCGTGAATCACAGAACCACAGAATCATATAAATGATCTAGTGATCACCTAGTTGCTACCCCTTGCTAAAGCAGATTCACCAGAGTAGATTTCACAGGAAAGAATCCTGGTCAGTTTTCACTTCTTCTGGAGAAGGAGACTCCACAACCTCTCCAGGCAGCCTGTTCTGTCACTCTCTCAGTAGTTGTTTCTCATGTTCAGGTAGAACTTCCTGGGTTACAGTTTGTGTTCCTTGTCCTGTCACTGGGCACCATTGAAAAGAGCTTGGCCCCATCCACTGAACTCCCTCCTATGAAATATTTACAAGCATTGACAAGATTCCACCACAGTCTTCTACTTTTCAGCCTAACAGTCCCAGGTTTCTCAGCCTTTCCTTGTAAAAGAGATGCTCCCAGCCCCTAATAATCTTTGTGGCTCTCCACTGGACTCTGTCTAAAAGTTCCCCATCCCTCTTGAACTGAGGAGCCCAGAACTGGAATAGTACTTCAGATGTATCCTCACCAGGGCAGATTAGGAGTAAGGGGTTTACCCTCCTTGACCTGCTGACTGTACTCTTCAATGCATGCCAGGATACCGTTGGTCTTCTTGGCTGCAGGGGCACCCTGTTGACTCATTTGCAGCCTGTCATCCAGCAGAACACCCAAGACCTTCTTTGCAGAGCTCCTTTCCAGCAACTCAAACCCTAATCTGTACTGACTCATGCAGTGGAGAAAAGATTCTCAGAGCAGGGACAGCTCTCTTTGTCTGATACCAAACAATGCAGATATGTGGAGTTTTTCAAAAGGACTGTGAAATGAGAAGTAATGTAGTAAGTCATGGAATATACTTTGAGTAAATAAACATTTTATGTGTTCATGATTTCATGATCAGAGCCAGGCAGCTCTCTTGGTATGTATCAAGAAAAATTTGTTTTTATCAATTTGACAAAGCAGCATGTCATCATCATTGTAACTGTTGCTTGTATCACTGACTTTGGCATTCACACATTCTACCAGCAGTTATTTCACATCTTCGTGTTATCACCATTAAAGACACTTATGTAATACTGGAAGAGAAACAATCCCTTTACGTTATGCTTAGAAATTATTTTCCCTTAATAGTATTTTCTCATTTACTATATATCTCTGGCAATCTGAGAGAATTTTTTTTTATCTGCTTTCAAGGTTATGTTGATTTTTGGCTAGCAAGATTTATTTATTTATTTTTAGCTGAGTTTAATTAATTTTTAGCCTCTAATTACTGATTAATCCAGTTCATTTTTTTAATGCATCTCATAATGTTATTATATGTAACAACATTTATATATACATAACATTTTGTAATGTTATTATTTGCTTTTTGATTGACAGGAGATTTTCAAAGCATCCAAATTTTAACATTTCAGGGATCTCTTTAGAATTACCAGTAAGATTTTTAACTTATAACTTTAAATCATATATCTATAATACTAATTCCCCCCCAATGAATGGTGATTGTTGATATATTATCAGAAATTGTCATTTATAATTTTATCTTTGCTATTTAATATATTATTCATAGAATTTCTGAGGTTTGTCTTATAAATTGTTTCCCAGGGTACTTATTTTGCAGCATATTTTTTTCCCTTTCAAATCTTATTTATGATACTTGGCCTTCTGTTTCAGGAATTCATGCGCATGATTGGCAATGATAAACAAGGGCAGATGATTGTATTTCATTTGATAGAGCTTTTGAAGAACAATGGACGACTTCCAAGGCCAGATGGATGCCCGGATGAGGTGAAGTATTATTATAGTAATATAGTTCTGTAGTCTTAAAGGTGCACAGTAAGGGTGAGTATATAGTAAACTTCATGTTTCCTTCTGTGTGGATTATGGAAGAATTTATACAGCCTGAATTGTTGTGCTGTTGTTTTATCAGTTACGTGATGGGTAATAATCACAATTGTTTTTATGATACTTTAGATTATACTCACTCAGGAGCTTATAATGTAGTCTTTCTGAATATGTGAAATAGGATTATTATGACTATTACACTGGAGCCCTCAGACTGCTGTTTAAAAAATGTAAATTTAATAAGACAGTGAAGTTTAGTGTATGGAATTTGTTCCATAAAAGACTTATATAAACCTTCTTGCTCAAAACTGTACTGTAAGTTTTCTGATGTGTTTAATGTTTAGGAGAGAAACTTTACTATCTACCTAGGGTTCAATTAATCATATTTAATTCTGAGACTTAAAAAATGCTTTATCTTTATTTCCCTCTTTTGCTCTTCCTTCCTCAAGCATAGAAATACTTACATATGTTTATCATGCGTATCATCAAACATTCTTGGACAGGTGCTATATGCAGATTGTGCATACAGTGAAGAATATGAATTGGATTTTATCTGGACATGGGCTTTGGATTTGTATTCATACTTTTTGTAGATCTAGTATATGCCTCTAAAACAATCTAGAGAGTATGTTAATCCAAGTTTTTTTAATTTGCTAATACTCTAGATGTTTTAAAAATATTTCCTTACTATTTCTAAGCCTTTTACTTCACTGTTCTTTTGAGGAGGATGCACTTCAGCTTGAGGAATGTAACTAAAATAGATACACTATTTTTTTTTTTCCTATAACTTCTAGTCTAGATAGATTCTTGTATCTATGATTGGACACATTTGGCAATAATTGCTGAAATAATTCCTACAAAACTGCAGATAGCAGATACCAACGTCGAGAGATCTAGCAGAGAAGAAATGGAATGACACAGATCGGGCAGGGAAACCATTGGACATGTGCATGAGTACAACAGTTGTTGAATCACGAAGATTTGAGGTTTTCATAGATAATCTGGATTTCCTACAAATATGATAGTACTACTATCTTATTGAAACTAAGTTCTGTTGTCTGACATTTCTTCAGCTAACAAAGCAAGATGGCAATGCCTCTCTTCTGTTAGAAACCATGATCATCCCATTTTGATCCTAATCTTGAAACTTCCTAGGTGTTTTTAACTTACAGGCTGCTTTGGACTCAGATCAATGTGAGAATTTCAGATCTGCTGAAAAGTGGAGAATTGAGAGCTACATTTGTTTCGAGCTTTTCAGATAGTTGTTAAGCAGAAATTTTTAGAAGAATGAGAATCTGTTTACGATCTGGATTAAATTAGTGAAAAGAACACAAATGAAGAGAGTGTCACAGGACTACTGTGATGGGATATCAGGTGCATGTTTGGGAAAATAGCATGGCTAAATGCCTTTCATATTTTCAAACAATATTTTTGATCTGTTTTTAATATTATTAGGTTCAGTTTGCGTTTGTGTCATCTTGCAAACTTTGAAAATTAATTCAATTTCCATAATAACTAAAAGAGAGAAAATCTTCATAAAGGCCCTTTGCTGTCCTTAAGCAAGGAAATTGATGACTATTACTAAAATCTTGCTATACTATCGTGTCACTGTTGCATGGAAAAATGCAGTTAAGTTAGAGAGTCTTTGCACTTAACTAACTGTCTGTAGTATCTATTAACACAGTATTTATTTTCTTTTTTTCCCCCCCAGATTTATGCTATCATGAAAGAATGTTGGAACAACAACGTTACTCAGCGGCCCACCTTTAGGGATCTTGCTCAGCGAGTGGATCAAATAAGGGACAACATGGGTGGATGAGGAAACTGTCCCTTCTTAAGAGCATGTATTAGGATGCAAACAAAATGTACTTGGTTTGCTGTGTATAATTGACATATGTGCACTTGTGCATTTACCTTTGCTGGAAGTAAAATCTGCATGGCAAATATCTTATATGAATCTGCAAACTGAGGAACCCTGCTGGTTTTCTTGATCAGGATATATTTGTTACTGTGAGAACATGTTGAAATTCTCAATACGGAAAGAAATTATTTTTCTAAATTGAATAATATAATATATGGTCAGTCTACAAAACCATTATTTGCCTTATTTGGCAAGCAAAAAAGAGGTGAGAAATATGTGAGATTAAGAAATGATAAGACTATTTCCTTGTTGAAATGGAGATACATAGAAAAGACATGTAGTCTTTTCACTGTGAATATGTAGTGAGTGACTGCACACCCTGTTCTGTGTGTTGCACAAGGGCTTTGTTTTGTTAATGTGCTTTTGTAACTTTTTATTGTTGTTGCAGAAGTGGCTTCTCTGTATAACAAAATGGAATTGGTTATGTAATCCAGCAACTTTTAATGTGCCTGTCTGAATCAATGATCAGTCAGCAGCATATGCAAAGAAACATAGTCCATGTGATATACTGTAAGTATTTCTAGGGGAAGGAAAAGGAAGTGAATTGTTTTTAATTTGGACAGCCAGATAACTCACCTGTGTGAGAATTGTAATTTAAGTTGGAAAAGAAAATAGTGACAATTTTTTTGTATTTTTTTCCCTTAAGTATTAGATTCCCTTTACATATGAGGATACAGTGAATTGAAGACATTTCGTATAAGACCATCTTCAGATTGTTTCTGAATATGAAAAAGCCAAACATACTGCTTTTGAATGTTGCTCTTTTACTCTTTCCATCTTTGTATTTTTTATGCTGTCCTCAGTGTACCTGTAAATTGGAAACTTCCTAAAAACAGAATTAAAAATGTAGAAAATGCCCTTCAATTCCTCACTTTGTTATGATCATGATCTTGTATGTTCCTTCCAGTACCCTAAAAAGAAGGTTTATTGCTCAGTGTATAATATGGTCAGTCACCACTCAAAGTCATTGAGTCAACTTTGGGCCAATTCTTTTTAAAAACCTCCATTTCTTCCTGTTTTAAGACCTAGCCCGTGACCATTTGGAAGAAGGAAAGTATAAGTACAATTGCTTCACATTTAGCTGGAGGCAAGAACACGATCCCAGTTAATGAGAACTGGAAGGAGTTTAAAGTTACCTGAACAGATTGCTATGTGTAATTCCACTTCTGAAGTAAATCTAACAAATTTGTGGACAAGGCTACTAATTGGTTTTGCCTCCAAGCATGAAACTTGGGAATAATCTTGTATCTTAAAGCAGTGAACGTTTCAGGTTTTGTTTATTTAAATTCAAATGATCTGTTATTTTTACATATTCTTAGATGTTGTTTGTAAAATACTATGCTTGTTGTTCTTGAACTTTTGCTGAGGTTCAGTTAAGGCTACACAAGCTCACAAACCCTTATAATCCATAATGTATTTAAAATGAAGTGTTCGTTTTTGAAATTTGTGGCAGTGAATTTGTGGAATACAGGGACTACTTTGCTGTGAGGCCTCATTAAGATTCGTGATTAATTACATCCATCTACTCAGAAGTTTAAGTAACTACAATTAAAAAGTAGGAATTTCTTGCTCAGTGTAACATAGTGCCAGTATAGCGATGTTTTGTACCACTGATCTTTCTTTCCCACAATTGCTCATTCAAGGTTATGATTTTATAATACGGGAGACTGCTAAGTAGTGGCGGCAGCATCAGCCCTCTTTCTGCCCCTTGCATTTAATAAAAATGTTGTTGGGCTTTCTTCCTATGAAACTCTTTCACAGAACCTTAGAATTGATTTTGCCAGCAGCTTATAAGCTGCAGAGAACTTTTGAGTACTCCTATGTGTGTGTTCTCTGTTTCTGTATGCTGCTTTCAAGACGATTTAGAAGTTTCAGGCAAGGAGCACCTTTGCATTTGTACTCTCAGTTGTGTGTACATGTTTTTTGTAGCAAAAGAAGATAAAGCTTTAAAGCATCGAAGCAGCATTTTAGCTGGGGTAACGTATGCAGGAACTATGTAAAATTTGCAGTGTGGCAGTTGATAGCTGACTGGTTTCCAATATATAATAGACTAACAGTAATTTATGTAAGAATCTCAGGGAAGTTTGTGTAATGCAATGAACAGATCTTCCAGTCTGCTATTTTTTCAAGTGAATAAAAAGTCTTTTGCTTGTTCTACTACCATATGATTGATTACATAGTCTGATTGCTTAAATGTAATGTGGAATTCAAGGATAATTTTTTTAAGTTTTGTGGACTTTTTACTTCAATACTTTATAATTTTTAGAGAAAGCCGTACCTTTACACTGCAGTATAACTTTGTGCTGTTGGTCAGGAGCATATGTAGTCCATTGTACCAAGTCGGTCTGTGCAAAGGGCTTGATCATCCAGGATAAGTATTCTTCACTGGATGAGTAGGACCAAGTAGTGCTTAGGACTCAGGGGATGTGTGTGATCATCTGCAGTGTCAATGTTTAGGTCTTGGAGCAGACAGAATCATGGTTTTCTCAAAAAAAATGTAAAGGTTGTAAACACAATGATTTGTTGAATTTGCTAATGCCACGTGTAGTATCCTTGTTAAAAAATAAATTAAAAAAAAAAAAAACAAAACACAGAAATAAACCCCCACAAACACTGCATTTCAAGAGCAAATCTATTGTAGATTTGTAGAATGCCATATTTTTATATAGTATTTTTATTAACAGAATCATATTTTTGTTTTTGAAACTTTCTTCAGTTGGCATTGCATTTGTCACACTTCAGTGTAGTCAATATGCTACCCAAAATGCTGTGATTTACTGTAGGAAAAGTGCTGTTTTATGCATACATGACTGCTGCTACGACGTAGAATGAAGATACTAACTACCGCTTTGCACTTATTTCAAGTGAAAGTGTTCTCCTGTAAGTTCACAGTGTATCTTAAAAAATCTACAAACAACTATTGTGTAATGTAATATAACATTGGTTTGTTACCTATCAGTATAAATAGCCTAGCCTTCAAAATCCATTTTTAAATATCATCACAACCTTGCAACAGTCATGTAATAAGGCTGAGGAGGAACGGATTTTCGAGAAAAGAAACCCGAACTTTGTCAAGTTGTGTTATTGATTAAAAGCTTCCATTGTTGAGATAGTTACCACTATACATACAGCCAAAACTATTAAAAAGATGTTAAATTATTTGAATTAGTTTTAGAAACCAAGTCTTTAATTGTTGTGTTTGCTTGAAGTATGGCCAGCTGTATTGAAATGTTTGAGAAAAGACTGCATGAAGTATAAAGAAATGTTACTCTTGTGTAAAGAAAGCAAGCTTTTCAGGAATGTCTGAGCACATAAAGCTGGAGGATAGACTCTGAGAGCAGGAGTGGAAGCACAGAACTACAGGAGGACTTCTGGAAAAGGCTGTTGTTGAACAGTGAAGAAGCATTCTGAAATGCACAACAATTTACAAATACACTGGTAATGTCTACTGAAAATGCCATATCATTACAAATGTGCTAATGTATTTCTGAACTGTGTGTTGTCTGCCTTAAATCTAAAATTCGTAGAGACCCAATCCTGAGTGAAAAATGCAAGAATGACTACACCAAAAAAAAAAATGCTTAAAATTGTTCAATGCCAGACAGCAATCTTAAAAGGTATTTAAGTTTTTTTTTTTTTCTTTCCTGAATCTTGCTTTTTAAATAAGAGTTTTACAATACTTTATATTAAAGTAGAAAAAGTCCCTTTGGGGGAATGGAGAAGAAAACTCATGTTACTTGTAGTTGGACTTCAAATATTTGGATACATGGCTTGTTGGAGAGAACGTAAAGGGGGATATTTTCTAGAAAACTATGTATTAATGACTGAAACTTATCTGTGCTTTTCTTTTGAGTTTGGTTAGTAAAAAATAAAATAACAACTGAACACAATGAATGGCACGTGCCTGCCAAGGTTTTCTTTTGTGCAATGCCTAGAACTATTTTTTGGTGTTGAAGTTGCTGGTGAAGAAGACTGCTCTGTTTTAAAGGGGGTGAATTGCAGTGTATACAACTTTGTGACCTTCCTGGGGTAGCTATATGTAGTGTTTTTCCTTTTTCTAAGGAACTCTTCTATCCCAAAATAAAGGCTGATTTTGGGTGCTCCCTGAAGTTAAGATTGACTTAACTAGCTTAATATGAAAGTGGTCATTTGGGAATGAAGAAGCACTTCCTTTTATTGTCAGTATTTACAGAGAGGCTCTGACAGACTGCCTGTTAACCAGAGTGCAGTTCTTTGCAGTTCCTAATGCAAGCAAACCTGGGTACAAATGCAGAAATGAACATGTGATTTTTGTTACTTTATCAGAGGATTTCCTCTAATTTTTATTTTCTTAGATATATAAAGATTGTCACCACTTTGAACAGAATTTATGCAAATGGATTTTTTGTTGTTTATTTTAGGGGAGAGGGGAGTGGGTTTTTTTGTTTTACTGATTTGTGTTGGTTTTGTTTTATTTTGCATTTTGATAAGTGCAATAGCAAAACGCAAAATATATATATATATAAGTACACAGTCAGATATATAGATATATCTCAGTCAGATATTAGATACTACGCTGTGGTGGAAATAATTATCCTAGTTCAGTTACCTCTTCCAGCACATACAGGTGTTTTATTCAGTGAAGTGTTTGAGCTGCCTTTGAGGTGACGCTGACTCTGAGTCAGGATTTAAAAAAAAAAAAAAGAAAAAAAAAAAGGGGGTGAGGAGGAATAGAGGAAAGCCAGGCACTTTGGTGCTTCCTATTGTGGCCTTGTCCTATATAGATCTCTTGCTGCACGGGATCCACCTGTGCAATGCAGTGGATCTGGCAATGAAGTATATGCAAGGGACTTCTCCATGAGCCCTCAGCAGCATGCTGTGGCTGCAGTGCAGGTCAGAATGAGGGCTTAAGTCACTCATTTCTTATAATGCTTTCACTGGGCCGAATAACTCCACCAGTAAGGGCCAAACAGCTTGGAATCCCACTGATAACTGAAACACTAAATGGGGTAGCAAGGGAAAAGAATCTGAGGAGAGTTTCCATAGGGAAGGAACACCAAATTCATCAGATGTCTATTTAATCAAACTAACATAATCATCTTTCCAAATTTAAGGTGTATTTTATACTGATAAACAGGGAAATTGAAGGAGATGATCACAATCAACTCCTTTTATCACAGCACATGCCACTTTGTAAGCAAGTATCTGGAATTAATTGCTTTCTGGTACTTAGAAAGTTACCACTGAACAGAGCACGGTTTGTGGAGGTGGTTGTTTGTTTGTAAATTCTTTCCCACCCCTATCAAAGTTACTACTGATTGCTGTTGTTCAGTGTGCTGCAGGAATTCTATTTCTATCTTACTAACATTCTATTCAATTTCTATCTAATTAACATTCTATCTGTTAGAATTCTATAATTTCTACAGGAAATCTGTAGTTATTAATTTTCCATTCTCTTAAGTGTTTATACTGATGCTAAGACACCTTTCATTGCTTTGTATGCCATGCTGTGTAAGATTTGGTCATTACTGTTGCCTTTACATGTCTGAGGACCTTTGGATGTTTTTGCTTCAATCTTCTCTGTTTAAAACAACAGCTTTTTTACATTATTTCTCTATTAACATAAGTTTTCTTAATCTTTGGTTTTGCTACTGTTTGGCAGACTACCTCTTTCCAATGTGTGATGTTCAGAAGT